GCAAGGGAAGGTCAGGGACAGAGCTGGATGAAGAGAAATAAAGTGGAAGGAAACAAAACTTGTCTTCAGTGGTGGCAGCAGCAAGCTGTTCGTGACATAGCACTGTTGAAGACAGCTTGCTTTTCTCTAAGAGATTTCACCCCTGTATAGAATGAGAGGAGCTTTTGCCTTGGAAGTGTACTGGCCTTCCACTTGAGCTTGTTATAAAGGTGTTTTGCAATGCATCCGAGATGTGCGATGTCTAATTCTGTTGGTATCCAGGCTGTATAATTTATCAGAATACTGAGGAAACTTCCAGAAATGCTGAGAAGGTAGATGCTTGTAGTTAGTTCACTGGAAATTCTTCCTGCTTCAAATCTTGACCAAAGTTGGCTACCTCACTGTAGAGTAAATTCCTGCTCTAGTCCCTCAAGTTTTCAGTGTTCTCATCTATTTCTAAACAGTTAGAAATGTATTGTGGTCTGATATTCTGGATCACTAGAGGCCTCTCTGTAAGAAAAAGTTACTTAACGGCTCAAGTGTTGCCTTTTAAGTGAGACTGGTCTACGCATGCAAGGCATTATCTCGCATAGGGTGGTGGCCTTTAACTCTAGCTGGTTATGACTAAAGCCTTTAGGGAAAATGTAACTGTCGTTAATGTGACCTTGCAGCTACCCAGATAAAAGCTTGTTCTCTTGAAGTACTGCTGATCATCCTACAAGTGTAGTTTCAGAATCCCCTGTGTTCTGGAATAAGAGACAGAAAGAAGTTGGTTCACAATTCGGAAGTGGGTTTTTAAATCACCCTGTGTTTATGACAGTGCAGGAACAGGATGTTCTATCGAAGTTTACTGTAACTCTTGTGACTTTTTTGTGGTATACCTGAGCCCTGGTTAACTGTACTGAAAGTAAAGTGTGGGGTCAAGAGGAGGGAAGATGAGTCTCAGTACTGGTTATCTAGTCCCCAGGTTTGCGTATGAGGAACTTACAAACACGGTTACGCTGTTGTCCTGTAGCCCAGTGGAAGGAATTAGGATTTGCATATGCTGAAATGCCACTCCTGAGTTTCTAGGAATTTTAATTTCTTTTTACTTATACATTTTGTGCAGTTTTGGTTTGAGGTTGATTTTATAGGGTGCTTGGTTTTTTTTGTGTAGACTAGTACTCTGTGTGGTGCTTTATCTCTACCTATCAAAGCATGTTGCCAGCAGATAGTATGTAATATATAGTACGTCATCTTGTCTTGGAGTTCAGTTTGTGATACCAAGAACTTTTGAAGGCAACTTCTGTCCTCTCCCTGTGCCTCAAGCCCGTATGTTGCAAGAATAAGTTGTCTTTGAAGTACAGTTTTCTGGAAAAATGAATATTAGGATTTAACATTTTTCCAAAACTGGTGAACAGGGTTTGGGGGAGGGTGCACTTGTGGAATACCCATTTTTTCCTTTTCTCTACCCTACCCCCAAATGGCTATTTGTTTTAATAACTTTGGACTTCACAAGTATTTTCTGTTACTTCTCTGGTTAACAAGCTGAAAAACCTTTTCTCTGAAATGCTTGCTTTTGTCTTAGCCAGAAGAGGTTGTTGTAAGAACTTAGGTAAGGTATTAAGTCTACTGCATCATAGCTACTGGTTTTATTTGGTTTTGGTTTTTTATAACTAAAATAAGAATTTGGATTGCAATCTATAGTTTTTCTCTGTTAATATGCCTTACTGAAAGTGCTCAGGATTGAAGTCTGTAATACATTTTTAAAGTATTTTTCAATTATGCTGATTCTAAGATTTTGGGGGAAATATTGAAGTGCAATTAAGTTTTATTTTTGAGATCGACACATGCTTTCTTGAAGAAAAGCTAGAGTAAAAAGCTGGCTGCTGATTGTTACTTAGCAAACTTCCTCTTCAGGGTTCTGGTGTGTCTGTGTTCCCACTACTGTGTGCTGGTAACAAAAACCGGAACCACACCCCATTGTATTACTCTAAATTCACTCGTTTGGAGTTGGTGGATTTTCTCCCCGCGTTGATCTTGTCGACGTGAGCATCTGGTTGCAGGAATGTACATGATAGTGCTCAGTTTTCTTGACCAGGCCAGGAAGAATCATCTTTTAGCTAATGAGAGAAGGTTAATAGGCAGTGTTTCTTCTGAATGAATCAATGAGGTACTTGAAAGCTCTGTTACTTTTATTGGAACACTTCACACTGCAAGTTACCTTTGTGTTTATCAAGCTTCTTGACTACAACTGAAAAGGGAAATCACTGATCATAAAACTTCAAATGCTAGTGAAATTCATGAAAGTGGGAAGATGGCAAGTGTGGTAGCTTATTGCCAGTTTGGGTAATTTCCCACCTAATTCAGTGGACTTTCAACTTAGTGGTGCATTGTTCGAGTGTCCCTAGCATCACTTCTTGCTCTGTCATTTGGAGGGTATAACTTCATGCTTCTACATGTGTCTGAGAGGTTTCAGTTACGCGTTGTCAGGAACTTTATGGTCTTGCACTCATGATGCAGCCCAAGTGTTGGGATAGAGCTCTCCCACCTCAGTAGAGGTTAGGTGGGTGCTTACAGGAATAGAAGCCTAAATGACAAAGTATTGATTGTTGCTATATTTGTAGTTGTTGATGATGTGTCCAGTGGGATATTAAATGCACATCTGTTAAAAGCGTAGAAGAAGTTGTTGCCATGCAAAGAAAGGGCTGCTCTGCAGCCTTAGTGCCACAGGTACTTGTCTGTATAGGTCTGAAAGCAAGGCAGCAGCAGTAGCAACCTCCGTGTCCTGAGCTTGCCACAAAGACCGATGACCATAACTAGGTGTTTACTTTCAGACTATGGATCTTCTATCCTTGGTGCCTTTTATTATTAGTGCTACATGTCACTGTAAGCCACAGCTTCAGCTTTGATTGTGAAGATGACCTTTTTCTTATTCTTTTCCATTCCCTGCTCTTCTGCTTGCAAAACCAAGGAAGGTGCTTTTAAGTAGAAGGTTGTGTGCCAGACAGTTATTGGAAGTCGTTTTGTATTTTGAGCCTACCCTTTTTCAGCAGCTTGGTTTAAGATGGCTGTTGAACTTTTGCCTGCTGCAGGAAAAGTTTTTCTGGAAATAATATACTTGTAACTGGCACTACAGCCCAAAAGGCGCACATAGCTTGACACTACAAAAGTGTAGTAAATACAATTTGAAGTTATAGTGACTTTGAAAGATGAGGGTGTCACCGGAGACCTTTTTCATACTGCTTACAATCTGTAGCTCAAGAAAAGGGAAAAATTCTGTCTCAGTGCCATGACAGACAATGGGAAGTCTACTAACCTCCCCACCCCTTCACATCTCGTGCTGTTAGTAGAACTGAAATACCTGTGGGGCTTTTCCTTGCCAGAGGGAAAGGGCTGGGAAGTGTGATTTGACATTTTACAGAGAACAGAAAAGAGCAAGAACTGACCTGGCTTAAGCAATACCAGACAGTGGATAAACCACTGTTCTGTATGATGTGGAATGCTTGTCGCAAACTTTGTTAAATGCCAGCTGAACTTGCCATTATGTACAGTAATAACCTCAGGATGTTGTTAGTAAGGTCTCATCTTACCCTTACCCATTTTCTCCATCCATGGAGGAGGAGAGCCTAACTTTAGGAAACCACAAAGGCATTTTATTACTGTCCAAGAACCTTTTGTCTTTAAGAGAGTTCTTTGAAGTCCTCCATCAGGAAGCTGTTAACAAAACATCTCAAAATATTTTTGTAGGCATTGATCAGTTATGTAAATGTCTCTGTACACTGTAAATGTCTCTTTATACACTGGCTTGGCAGTACCTAGTGAAAATGCAAACACAGATATTACCTATACCATATAAATGCAATGGAAGGAAAAGCCTGAGTGATGTGACAGCAAAGCCAACTCAACTCTAAGCTTTTTAAACTGCAGTCAAGGAAGAGCTTTGATATGTGCATAAATATGAGACGTAGTTAAGTACTATTATAAACTCATTTTGTTTATAAAGCTGTTCTGTTTTTTATGAAGCCTTGTTCTGAAAGATCATGGGTTATACTTGTTAATTGTTTCACATTAGTAAAGCACACATCTCTGGTCTCTGATCCTACCCTTCATCTGTCCAATCATCTTTTTACGTTGACTGTCCTTGTCTTAATAATCCCTATAAAAAGAAGTTACTCCAAGTGAGCTGAAAACTGGATCTTAAATTTACTTTTAAGGAGGTGAAGAGAATTGGTTAACAAAAATGATTCACCATAGAAACAGCTCAGCCAATAGCATATGTGCAATAGATTAACCATTTTCTGGTACTTTCATATTTGATACGAAACATAGCAACAAGACGACAGCTTGACAACAATAGCAGCTGCACATATTTTTCTTCCTTTTTTTTAAAGAATGTTCTTGTGGAAAAAATAGATTCTCTGGAAAGTAATTTATATTAAAAGTTTCATCACAAAAATTGTGTGGGTGGGTACAATAGGCTAGAAATTAAATTAGTGATTTGTATAATAAATGATGGTTTTGATTTGATATGACACTTCTAGTCTCTTACAAGTGACATAGCTACAGGCAATAGAGTAATCTCTTCCCCTTGTGAAGATAAATGTCGTATCAGACCGAACCTTCTTATATTAAATTACAACTTCTCTTTTTTTACCATATGAAAAGATTCATGAGACTGTTCATTAAATAATAGCACAACCCAATTAAAAGGGTACTTTGGTCAAAATGTGTCCAAGATATTTTCTAATATCAGGCATGTAATTCATTTATATAGGGTACTGCTCTGAGAGGCCTGACCCAAATAAAGGAATTTTCCTTTGTGCAGCAAGTGGCGTGATTGTGGCCACACTGAGCTGGAAGCTGCCTTGTTTGTCTCAGTTAGACTGAAACCCTCAAATGCAAATGAATTATGATGGTAGGAGGAATCTAGTATCTTGACTTCCTTACTTGGGGGGGAAGAGGGATATAGTATGTGTGGCTCTTCTTACGCAATTTGATTGCACTCATACTGTTGATTTTTTTTATGTTTTGACAGAGAGAAGGAGCAAGAAAGGGAAGAACAGTTAATGGAAGACAAGAAAAGGAAGAAAGAGGATAAGAAAAAGAAGGAATCTGCTCAGAAGGTAGCTTTTGATACTTGAATTCTTTTATCGAGTTGGAACATAAATGGTATTGGCGGTGGCAAGATGTTAAATTGTTTGTATTTGAGCTTAAAAACTTGATTGTTTAGAGTGATGCTTCATTGAAGACTATTTATTGCATAATTTTTATAAAATTTAAGTGTTTAACTTAGACATTTTTTCTCCTTAGCCTGTCATGTGAAGCAAAAGTTGGGTTTTGATACTAAACTGAAGTTACTGAATATGGACACTCTTGATCTACATATCTCCTGCTGTTTTGAGGTGTTTAGGGATGGAAATGCTGCTGGACTTTTACAATTCTTGCAGTAAAATTGACTAAGTTTTTTCTAGAGCAAGAAGATACTTTTTTTTTTGTAAGTGTGTAAGGAAGTTTGTATGAAGTATTTACTACTGAAGGTTCCCTTTGTTTTTTGTGAAGTGTCACTTAGGTTTTACATTTTCTGTAGCTAGTAGCACTTTTGCTGAAGTGTATCAGTTTGAGCATGAGCTGTGGAGAATTGATTAATCACTGAAAATCGGTTTAGTTTAGAAAATGGGTTTGAACAGTTGGCATATTGGAAGCTCTCTGTTTCACTGAAGATCTAGTAGGTGGTTCTAGGAGTTAACTTGACATGTGAACTTGACCAACTTTACGCATGCTTTTTACTGGTAAAATCCTTTCTTTCTGGGCTTCCCAGTACAAGACACATGTAACTGTCTTGGAGTGGGTCCAGCAAAAGTCCCCTAAGGTGATTAAGGGACGGGAGTATCTGACAAATGAGGAGAGGCTGAGGGCTCTGGGACTGTTCAGGCTGGAGAAGAGAAGGCTCAGGGGGATCTTGTCAGTCAGCCATATGGGAGGGTGTAAAGAAGATGGAGGCAGGCTCTTGTGCCCAGTGCCAAGGCAGAAGGCATTGTGCACAAGTTGAAACACAGGAAATTGTGCTTAATCATAAAAAGACTCAGATTTGTGATTCTGGGCAACCACAGGAATAGGTTTCCCCAGGAGTTTGTGGTGCCTCCATTTTTGGAAATGCTCAAAAACGAGTTGGACGTGGCCCTGTGCAGTCTGGTTTTGATGACTTTAGTTTGAGTTGGGAAGACTCATGGGGATGGGTGGGGGAACAGGGGTGGGAACTGTGGACTAGATCTCCAAAGGCTGTCCCTTGCATCCTCAGTGATGATGTGCAATTGAGAGCAGAAGAATCAGTTTAAATTAAGTGCGGATAAACTGGTGAATTTCTCTGGTCTGTATCCAGACATTGTGTTGATGCATCCCCATTACTACTGCAAAAGGTCAGTAGCTACAGCCTAAGGTTTCTTGGTGTCTTTTTGCCTCAGTGTGGCTGCTGTTTCATGTTCAAGTACAAAAAGTACATGTAGGACCCAGGAGGAGCAGACCCTGGTAAATAAAGACTAGTGACTTGAGGATTATATGCTGACATTCAGTGATAGGAGAGAAGCTTGAAAAGATTGTACCGATCGTCTTGGTAAGTGCTGTGGGCGTTCACTCAGGAGTTGGGCCTTTGAAAACAAAGGAGATTTGCCAGCTTTCTTGTGTGGTCCCTCACCTACTAAGTTGTTCGGTGTGATTGCATGTTGTGATACTTTGCCAAAATGTGGGGTAGCATAAACACTAAGTTAATCTCCTAGAGACCAAACTTAACAGTAATACTGGAAGATACGTAGGAATAGCAAAGCAAGCAACCGGAGAGACAGAAAGTAAATGTGAGTTCGTTCTTGGCGACTGTGGTGGTGTTCAACAAGGAAGCAGTAATGATTTGGGGGTACCTTTTTCAGTCAGAGTTTGTATAACATGAAATAGTTGTTTCTGTTGGGATCTTCTGAAACGTAAAAAAAAAAAATCACTTCAACAGACGTTACACAAGCAAATCCACAGACTAAATTCCTGTGGTCGGTGCCCCAGGGGCTTATTTGGTAATTTGTCAGAAGGTTGTTTGATTCCACCTTCCCATTCACTATAGCTGCTCCTGCCCTAACAGTGCTTATAGGTTGCCCACAGAGAGATGACAGCTGTAAATCGGAGACTGTGTCACATCTTCTTAGCTTTTGTATTCTAGACAAAAAATTAGAGATGTAGTATGGGCAGAAGAAATTCCTCTCCCCTCCCCCAGCAAATTGTGGCTATCGTGTAGAATTCCTTAAAGATTTGGTAAAATAAGATTCCTCCAAGTAAGCAAGTAACTCATTTACTGATAATGTTTACTGTTGACCATAGTAAACCTATCAGCAGTACCAGATTGGATTAATGAATAATTTTTTCCCTCTTCTCCTGTAGTAGCTGAGCATCAGAGTTACTTTAAATGCGTAACAGAATTTTTAACTGTGTTACGGAAGACAACGTAATTTGTTGCAGACCTGATTTTTCTGAGTGAAGGGGAGATTGATGCCTGGCTTGGTACAGATGCAGGTTTTGTACAGGTGCATTTTTAGTGTCTTGGAAATGAATTACATAATTCTGTGAAGTTGGAATGCTTAAGATTTTCTGTTATAGTGAATGTTCTGCTTGGCATGTTGCAGCGTTCATCTTTGCAAAGTACCATAGCTATTCAGTGCAGTTTGTCTTTTTATTCTTTACCATACAAAGGGGTTCTGGCTTGGTTGGTTTAAACAATAAACTGCCTTTTACTTGTGCTTTCATTATTCTATACTGTCACTGTGTGCTTTCCAGAATTATGGACTAGTTCAGCAATTTCGTTTAAGAATAGGTGTCATACAACCTGACACATGATGATCTTTAGGGTTTTTCCATTATTGTGTAGTGGAACTCATGATCGACAGGTTCAAAACATTTTCCAATACACGATTCCAGAGAACATACCAGTAGTATGTTTGTCTCTACTGTAGCTTGAAATCTGCTATGCTGAAAGAATGTGAAAGTAAAGCCAAAACTGTACATTGAGTGCGTTGCTCAGTGTGATGGCTCACTTCAGTAATCAACAACTTACTGCGTTCAAGAGTTTCTGAAGTCTGGTGCTTTGTAGGTATTGCTGGTACGTTTGTAGCTGTGGCAATGAATCCAGTACGGTTTAGGATTTCTTCCCCTTGAAAGAGATGTCACAGGCAAGGTGAAATGGGAAAATGGCAGAGACTGCTGCTGTTTCTTGTGGTTACTCTGTGGGAACTCTGTTGCTAGCCTCAGCAGTCTGCTGTAAGGATATTCTCACAGAAGAAGTTACACTTCAGCTGTAATATTTTACCTCCAAAATCTGAAATAACTGTAGTGCTATAGCACGTGTTTATTTGTGCTTCGAAAGTCCATGTTTGGGATGAGGATGGGGGTGAACACTGAAAATCATGTGTGAAGTAATAACTCTTTCTTCCAGAGACTTCTGCATCAGGCAAAGGCAGTATAGGAGTTGTAGTATTTGTGAGAACTTCACATATGTGACTAGGAATACTGTTTAGACTTGTAGTTAATCAGCTGATTACTTTTGTGCAACTAATAATACTGTTCTTGTGCTAACAAATTAAGGTAATGGTTTAGCGCAGCCCGTTCAATGTTTGTTATGAGATTTTTAAAACTCTGTTTACATTCTTGCTCTTAATTTGCAGGTCACAGATCAAAAAACCAAAGGTAAGAATCTTTGATCTTAAAGAATATTTTTATTGACTTGAGCCAAGGCTCACATCTTGATCAAAACCATTGGAAAAGGAAGGGGAATTAGGAGTCAAGATGACATACTGAAGATGTGTATTCAGAAGAAATAAAAGCTGAGGTGGCTAAAGTGGAGAACCTAAAAGCTATCCATGTTGTCAGCATCAAAATACTTGAAGAGGGAATGAGGATTGTGGATCAAATACGTTAGCTGAAGTATTTAGTTTTCAGTTTTGAAAAGATTTTAGACAGTGGAATGGAAGACAGGGAAAGTGCTGGTTATAGTGAGATACCAAAATGAGTGAATATTACATGATTTTGGAAACTTAAGAGAAGCTCAGCCACCTAAAAGGTCCAACAGATGAGGTAGGACTGATGAGTGAGCATCTTGAAAGTTCGGATTATTTTGCTGATGTAAAAACATGTTCAGTCTTGGTTTGTGTGTCAGTTTTCTAAAGGTTTTGTGGGGAATTTAGCATTATTGACAGAAGAGAACCAAGACAGTAACTTAATCTTAAAGCTGACTACCTTTTTTCAGTTTTGGGCAATGAAGCCTAGATAGAGAAATCAGAAAACCCTTATCAAAATGTAATGTGGGAATAATGCATTCATGTTGGCAAAGAGAGACTCAGTTGTTTTCATGTCACATTTGTAAGAGGAAAAATTTTACTGTTTCTGGTCGCTCTGCTGGGGAGGGGTTTCTGGGCATCTTTTTCTGTATTTAATCTTCAGCCAAGGCTAGAGTAGGTGTACTAACTCCTCCTTGCCTTTGGAGCCTGATGTCTTAGCAATTACACCTTCAGGTGCCTGGCTAGGAATTTCTTTTAATGTGTTTGAAAAAGCACATAGAAAATGTGAGTAAGGGCTCGCAAGTCCAGAGTCTTAAGCAAATTTTGTGATGGTGCTAGTTCCTTAAGGACTTGTTTGTGGTTTTCCTCTTCTCCAATGCATAATAGCCCTCAGAAGCAGCTTGTCCTTGCTTATAGGGGCACCTGGTGACCAGCTGGAAAACTGGTATTGGGCAAGCCTGATACCGATGCTGTATGTAGGACTGCCTTTTGGGTAAGAATCAATGATTACTGCCTTACTTAAGAGCAGTACAGAGGACTCAGATTTGTTAACTCTGGATCCAAGAGCAGGTTGGAGTTTTTTTCCTCATTTTTTTTTGTTTTGGCAGTGGCTGTGTAGCCTAGTAAGCAGGTGAAAACTTGGGGTCTGATTTTGGGTCTCCCAAAAGGGTAAAGCATAACAATTAAAAAAACAGTTGAAGATCAGGGGATAGAGCGGGATGGGAGGGAACCAGTTATATTTGATGGCTCATATTTTAAAATGACTCATTGCCCAGGGTGATACTCTTTGCCAGCTTTACGTTTCCAAGAAGTTTGGGGCTTAGAGCAAAATACTTGCTGAGAGAAGAGTTTTGTCCTGGGGCGCAGAGCGGCACATAGAAGCAAGAGGTTTGCTGCTACTGCTTATTCCTGCTTCTTGAATTAAATTGTTCTTCAATAAGGTTGAAGTTGTACAGCATTTCAGAGGAGAGTGAATTTACAAAAGGAAAGTTGCAGTGGGTTCTTGTAGCTAATAGAGGTTTAAGTGGAAAAATTTCTGATTTTCACTCTTCCTGTTTTTCAGTGCCCGAAGTGACGAAACCAAGTTTAAGCCAACCAGTGGCTGCCAGCCCAATTGGCAACTCTCCATCGCCACCAGTCAATGGTGGCAACAATGCCAAAAGGGTGGCAGTGCCGAACGGACAACCGCCAAGCGCCGCCCGCTACATGCCTCGGGAGGTGCCGCCGCGATTCCGTTGCCAGCAGGACCACAAAGTGTTACTGAAACGTGGGCAGCCCCCTCCACCATCCTGTATGCTCCTTGGGGGTGGAGCAGGGCCTCCTCCCCCAACAGCACCAGGAGTCAACCCAAACAACGCACAACCAGTGACAGGAGCACTGCTGCAGAGCGACAGTGGGAGTGCAACAGGCAAGTAAAAATAATAATAATAATACCACTACTAAATGAACCTCTGTGTGTGTGCATGGCAGAAAAAGGATCACTAAAATAGCACATAAGCATATCATCGTGTAGTAAAACTCCTCAGATTACTTCTGGAGAGCTTACTTCTACCGTTTCAGCATGTAGAGTTTTCTTTTGCTGTTAGCAGCTATGGATGCCGTTTTTACCACTAGAATGGAACAAGAAAGAGAGTTACTTTTTTAGAAGTATGTTTCGAGTAGTTTGAATTGAGTGCTGTGATGCTCTTAAGACCGCAGCAAGTTAAACAGAGGGCATGGATAAACAGAATTTTATGGTTGTCATTGTGTAGTTCTTAATGGCTCTTTAAGTTTCTTTGATACGTATTTCCTATCTTGTCACTTTTTTATGTCATCTGGTAAAACAGACATGTAGATACCATGTCTGCCACTTCTCAAGATGGTCCTTTTGCTCCTGACCTTTTTGGTATTAATCTTGGTTTTCTCCTTAGATAAGCCTTTTTATAAAGGTGGTGGCTGTCCTGTTTTTTCTGTTCTGTTGACTTTGAATTCCAGATGATGAATTGGTTTTAAGATTGCTTTATGAGCATGGGGAAATCATGACTGCTCCTGAATTTTTTTAGACTCCTAGGGAATTGAAGTAACTGTAATATTTCCTCCTTAAGTTATGATAGTAGAACAAAATTCCACTCAAGACATCTGCCTTCTAAAGAAAACCTTAGGTGATGTGAGAAGTCAAGCACAACTTCAGTTGTTACAATAAGGATGTTTAAAGAAGAAATAATAGATGCCTGAAAGTCAGAAGAAAGTAACAATACTGCTATGTCTGAGTTTGCCTTTGAAAACCATGCCAGAATAATGGAATGGTTTATTTTTTTTATCACAGTCTTGGAGAGCATAAACTTCTTGTAGGTCTCTGATTCAGAAGAGAAAACAGAGATGACTTGGAACTCTGCAGTCAAGAAGCTAGATGAAATGGCCATCTTTATTACAAAGTATTCTAGGAAAATGAGTAACTCCATTTGTTTTCTGGTTTCAGTACTTGAATTCCTTTGTGGCAAATACCTGTTTGACAGGTTATTTATCTTCTTGTGTTTGGTGTTCCCTGCTTAATAAGAGGAGGGAGGAAGTGAATTTCAAACCACAGTGGCAAAGTTTTATCTAGTGTATTTAAAAACATGTCTCTTGGAGATGGCTGATTTTGATAAAACATCTGGAAGACGAAGAGGGGAAAAAACACAGCCTGAAGTCTTTTCAACAATATATAAAATACTAGCATTATGTCAGCATGAGTTTACCTTCACAGTGATTGTAGTGGACTGACAAAGGAGACTTCATGGTAACGAAGCATTCAGAAGTTTTCAGAATCTCTCGTGAACAGCATTTTTTTGCTGTATTATACGAAGACAATTTTGAGGATATTTTAGAGGCTCCTTAAGTTCTGTGTACTTAATTTGACACCTGATGTTTGTTTTTCTGATACTGAAACTCGATTTTTTGAATTCTCATGTTTTCACATTTAGTTTAATGGTGCATTAAATACTAAGACATTAAGTGGTTGTAGTTTACTGATTGTGGCAACTTTTTATGCCGGTGGTTAATTGCTTTATCCTGGTATAAGTCAGGAGTGTTGCCAGGGTACTTCAGACCTGCCTCACCCATCCAAATTTGTGCACCATAGTACAGTTAACTAGGCTGGGGAGCCCTTCTGGACTAAAAACAGCCCAGGTTGTTTTTTAAAGCTAATTTGAGATTGGGTGACTTGCCAGTTCAGCTCACTGAATATCAGTGGGAATGCATGTGCTAGCATATGAGAGTAGGTGTGCCAGAGGAGAGGGATTAAGTGGCTGGACAAGAGAAAGGCTGGGGCTGTCACTTGGGATGCTTCATCAAAGTGCTTATGGGAGTATGGTGTTGCTGTCTGTCTCGCACATCATTTGATCCCATCAGAGATCCTGGCTGTTTACAAACAGGATTTCGTATTGGGCCCAATCCTGTCTGGCACTTACATACTGATACTGTGATGAATTCATCCTGCATGAAAACAAAAGCATATTCCCAAAGGGGAAAATAATGCTGCTTACTGACTCCCTCTCATTGTTATATTTGCCAGATAGCTATAGATGGTGTTGCTCAGACTTTAACGCAAAAAGTCAATACATAATCCTTGTTTACATGAGTCTCTACCAAAATTTAAATGCTTCCGTTAAATGGTAAACTCTGAATTCCCTGAAAGATGATAACCAAATTTCCTATTGTCTCATAGCAGTATGGGGGGTTGGGGTGGTGGGTGGTCTATGTAATTTTTCCAATACCAATGATGATCAGTATGTGCAAGACAGTTTAGGGAAACAAAGCTTAAATTTTATTGATGAAAGTCTTTCAACAGTTACAATACCCTCTAAGAATCACCACCATCTCTCACAGCAAAACTGCATCTTCATTTCAAGACTCATTCAATCCTTTCGCTTATTTTGGTTCCATACTTCCATCTCTAAAAGTAGTAACTTTATTCATTTTAGATCAAAACCATGTTGGTCTTCAGCATGTTTGTTAATAAGGAAGAATCTGTTGGAGAACCAAGAGCCCTTACCCATTATCTTAAGGCAAAACAACAAATTGCCAGAATTTTGCGGCTACTGTCAAGTTTAGCATGGGGAGGCTGGTTTTATAACACACTCCATTAAATTGTGTCCTAGTCCGCTGTGTTAGAAAGCATCCTAATCTTAATGCGTTTAGAATGTCTTCGCAGAAATGAAAGGGAAATTGTTAAAATCGCCTGTGTTAAGATCTTGCTAAGTTCATAGCTGCCTCTGCGTCATTCATTTGCTGAATCATCGCTAGGTTCAAGACAGCAACCTTGCAGTCTTTTGAACTTGTCTTTGGCTGGTCTCCTTAAGCTATTCTGTGATCAGTCAAATCAGAAGGTTTAAATGGGGAGGGTGGGGGGAGGGTTACTCCGTCTACTGAAAAGATAGCCAGACACAAATATCGGTAGAGAGTCACACTTCCTTGCTATTGTTAAGTTTGTTCTTGAGGTTAAGGCAACAGAAGGAACAGAATGTGCATGGGAACAGCTTGGTCTTTTGGATCTTGGTTTAATGGATGAAGACAAACTCTGTTCACCAGTATTCAGAGCTTACAAGAGTTGTAACCTTGCTGTGAAGTCTGGATCTTTACTGGTCGCCCTCAAAGATGAGGGCATCTGGAAGGCATTCAGTGGATGTTCACTGGCTAAGCTAACAAACTGAAAGCCTGAGACAGGCACTGAAAGCTGATCCCTTTACCTTCTATTAAAAGTAGTAGCAACCAGAAATTGTGGTCTTCATGTTTGACTGTATAACATAGGAACTTAAGGGAGAAAGGGGAGGAAATAAACTTTTTCGAAGGTCATTGTGCCTTACTTTTATGGAATCTGACATGAGCCAGTATTGGTAGTAATGTATATATTCAGCTATGAATACCGATACAGGTGTTACTATGAACTTCATGCTCTTCAAAATAAGTTAAACTAGTTGGGTGGGAATAAGTGAGTAAGACTAATCTATTGGGGGTCAGTACATAGTTTTATAGAAGGGAGAATGGTAGTGGGAATTTGTGTGGAGGGCACTTTAGTGTCCCTTAGTATTAAAAATACATAGAAAAATGAGTGAAACCCTATATAGAGAACACCAAAGTACTAATGGACTTCTTATTTAGAGAGTCAGAGGTAATTATGTGGATAGCGAGGGAATCTTGGCTGACGTTTTAAACTAACGGTAACATGTCTGCGCATACGCAGACATGTGCAGCCAGCACTGACATAGGCTTCGTCCATTGTGGCGCTGTGTTAATTGGTCTGCTTTAAAACTGTATGCAGGTCTCTCGTCCATGTGAAGTCATACCGTGTAGGACATAATAGTTCACCACAGATGGAAGAAAAGGGCCTTATTCATTGTCATTCAACCTGCTAATTTCCTTGTAGTAACCCCAAAGCTCATTGGACTTGCAGGTTACACCATACTATGTGCTAAGCTGGCAACAAACTAACCTGTTGAAAAGTAGACCGTTTATGTTGTTAGTGAATACAGTTGACTTAGAAAGGGCCTAACTTCCATCAGAACTGTCACAGATGAGAGGTGAAACTTGGGGAACTTCAAGTAGGGTAGAGCTGGTGAGAGACAGAAGAAGTGAGATCTTTTACTAGCCTTCATCCAGTGGCAGAGATCAGCTTAGCTGCTCACAAAACCACAAACTGGTTTCTAGGGTAAATACAGCAGTGACATAAATGTGGAGTAATTGTATACTGAATACAGCTTGTACACTACTACCTAAAAATTGTAGGTTTTGTACCTTAGGACTTTTTCAATTTACAGTAACTTTTGGAAATGATTCTGTTTTGCAAAGTGTTGAAAGAAATTCCTAGTAGCACATTTATATATTTCTTAGTTTTTGCCTTTAATCGTTTATCTTCTGATTTGTAATAAATGGTAGTTGCTTTGAGTCAGTTGAGTAGCAGACTAACATCTGACTGCATGTGCACACACATGCATGTGAATGTGTGCACAGATACATTCTTGTTCTGTATATATAATGTGATTTTAAATGTGTATTTGAAAAGTCTACAACCAGTATCAGTAATGTTCATTAACTGGGTTATGATTATTATGTTGAACTTAGAGCTGGACTGTTAGCAGAGGCAGTGAGTCAATGGTGAACTCAATTACCTGCAAAATGCTTGTGCAGAGTTAGTTGAAAGGTTTTTATCAGTATCTTCAATGGTGTTTTCCAGCCTAATGTTCTTCCAAAGCAACGCTGTTACATGTTTGAGGGAAGGGTTCTTATTAATGAAACCAGTAATCGGTCATGTCAAAAATGTGATGTTCAGGGCTTGTAAAGAATATTGCTTATTAATAACATTTTTTGGGGGGTGTGTGGTTTTTTTGTTTTGTTTTTGTTTTTTAGATTCAGCAATTGGAGGTGCTGCTGCTTCAAATTATGCAAATTCCACTTGGGGTCCTGGAGCCTCCTCCAACAGCGGCACCAACGCCAACCCAACTCACATCTGGGACAAGGTGATTGTAGACGGGTCTGACATGGAAGAGTGGCCTTGTATTGCCAGCAAAGATGCTGAGTCTTCTTCCGAAAACACCACCGATAACAACAGTGCCTCGAACCCTGGCTTGGAGAAGAACGCTCTGCCAGGAAGCACCACTAGTAACAAAGGAAAAGGAAGCCAGTGCCAGTCTGGAAGCGCTGGAAACGAATGTAATCTTGGGGCCTGGAAATCTGATCCCAAGGCTAAATCTGTTCAATCTTCCAACCCTGCTGCCGAGAGTAACAATGGACTAGGTAATTGGAGGAACTTGAGTGGACAAGATAGAATCGGTTCCGGTTCTGGCTTCAGCAACTTTAACCCAAATAGCAACCCGTCTGCTTGGCCAGCACTGGTTCAAGAGGGCAATTCTAGGAAAGGGACTTTGGAATCTGATAGTGGTAGCGCCAATGCACAGATTAGCACAGTAGGTCAGACCTCTAGGGAACAGCAGTCAAAGATGGAAAATGCGGGTGTTAACTTTGTCTCTGGCAGAGAACAGGCTCAAACTCATAACACTGATGGACCAAAAAATGGAAACACTAACTCCTTGAACTTAAGTTCACCAAACCCTATGGAGAATAAGGGAATGCCCTTTGAAATGGGCTTGGGGAACCCTTCCAGGAGCACTGACACCCCTTCACAAAGCACTGGAGAAAGAAAGACTGGGAGTGTTGGATCTTGGGGTACAGCTAGGGGGTCTTCTGGAACTGACACAGTCTCTGGACAGAGCAATTCTGGAAACCATGGGAACAATGGAAAGGATAGAGAGGACTCCTGGAAAGGAGCTTCTGTTCAAAAACCTAATGGGTCAAGAAGTGATTCTTGGGATAACAATAACCGGTCTACGGGTGGTGGGTCTTGGAACTTTGGCCCTCAGCATGCAAATGAAAGCAAATGGGGTGAAGGGAACAAATTAACATCCGGGGTCTCTCAGGGAGAATGGAAACAGCTGTCTGGGTCTGATGAACTGAAGATTGGAGAATGGAGTGGTCCAAACCAACTAAATTCTAGCACTGGAGCATGGGACAATCAAAAAGGCCACCCTCTTCCTGAAAACCAAGGCAATTCCCAGGCTCCCTGTTGGGGAAGATCTTCCAGCTCTGCAGGAAGTGAGGTTGGAGGTCAAAGCACTGGAAGCAACCACAAAGCAGGAAGCAGTGACAGTCACAATTCTGGACGCCGATCATACAGGCCTACGCATCCTGATTGCCAGGCGGTCTTGCAGACTTTGCTGAGCAGGACTGATTTGGACCCCCGAGTGCTTTCAAACACCGGCTGGGGCCAAACTCAAATTAAGCAGGATACGGTGTGGGATATTGAAGAGATGCCACGGCCCGAGGGAAAGTCTGATAAAGGAACTGAGGGGTGGGAGAGCTCTGCCACACAGACAAAGAACTCAGGGGGCTGGGGCGATGTACCCAGCCAAAGCAATCAAATTAAGTCTGGATGGGGTGAGCTCTCAACCCCAACGGAATGGAAGGACCCCAAAAATACTGGAGGATGGAATGACTATAAGAACCCCAATTCTTCTTCTAACTGGGGAGGAGGAAGAACAGAAGAAAAATCATCTTCCTCTTGGAATGACAGCTCTAGTAAGGATCAGGGGTGGGGTGGACGGCAGCCTAATCAAGGATGGTCTTCTGGAAAGAACGGTTGGGGAGAGGAAGTTGACCAAACAAAAAACAGCAACTGGGAAAGTTCAGGAAATAAGCCAGTGTCTGGTTGGGGTGAAGGTGGGCAAAGTGAGATTGGAACTTGGGGTAATGGTGCAAATACAAGCTCTGCTTCAAAGGGTGGATGGGATGATTGTAAAAGAACTTCAACATGGAACGAGACGGGTCGACAGCCCAACTCCTGGAATAAGCAGCAGCAGCAGCACCAGCAGCAGCAACAGCAGGAGACTTCTGGTTCCTGGGGTCCACCGCCCCAAACTCCAAGTAACGGGCGACCTCCAAACCCAAACTGGAACAGCGGACCACAGCCAGCTGCCCCCAAAGAGGAGGAGCCTAGTGGCTGGGAAGAACCTTCGCCACAGTCAATCAGTCGAAAAATGGATATTGATGATGGCACTTCAGCATGGGGAGATCCTAGCAGTTATAACTACAAGAATGTGAACCTGTGGGACAAGAACTCACAAGGAGGACAGGCGCCACGGGAGCAGAGCCTTCCTACTCCAATGACTACCAAATCACAAGCATCAGGTACTAGTCCCGTTCCTTTTTTCGGCAAGCTCCTATGTATGACTGTAACCGTAATGCACGAGAGATACTCACGTAGCTTCCAATTCCCAATAGCTTTATTCCATAAAGAAAACCACTTTCTTATTTCAATATTTTGGTTTATATTTAAAATGTCTTTAAACCTTGAATCAGTTGGGTCTCTGCTTCTTGTGCCTCAGTATTTGTGATCTGAATACTGGTCAGCATGCCAGTAAAAGAAAATGTTTGTCAGCTGACAATTCTGCGTACTCAATCTGAATTTTGAAGAACAGTTCGAATTACAGAATTGTAGAATCATTTAGGTTGGAGAAGACCTTTAAAATCATTGAGTCCAACTGTTAATGTAGCACTGCCAAGTCCATGACTAAACTGTGTTCCTGAGTGCTATGTTTGTGTCTTTTAAATCCCTCCGTGGATGGCGGCTCAACTGCTTCCCTGAACAGCCCATTCCAGTGCCTGACAGCCCTTTCCGTGAAGAAATTTTTCCTAATATCCAATCTAAACCTCCCCTGGATCAAATTGAGGCTGTTTCCTCTTGTCCTATCGCTTGTTACTTGCGAGAAGAGACTGACACCCACCTCTCTGCAACCTCCTGTCGGGTAGTTGGAGAGACTTGTAAGGTCTCCCTGATCCTCCTTTTCTTCTTAACTGACATTTTTCATATTTAATTGTTAGAAAAATGGGGAGAAATTCTTTACTTATTTTAGTCAAAAACATTTTGCTCTGAAACACTCAGTTAATCCTTGAAATTGAGCAAGACTCTGATTTCGTTTTCTAGCTTAATTGGTTCTGCTGTATGGTAAAGAATACTGAGTAAAATACTTTTGTCTTGGAAAGAAGGACAAGAAAAAGTTGCATAGCTTGGAAATAATATATTAAGATGTTGTTATTATGTAATCTCTTCTGACTCAGACGTGCTTTAAAAAATACTATTTCACTTTAATATGTGCTTCAAAGATGTCCTTATTCTTTCTTTGGTATCTGAAAACCCTGGCTTAGTCTGGTGCTTTTAATTAGTCACAAAAGTTCACCAGACAGGAGGACAGCATTAGATGTGGGGTTCATTTTTAACCTGGGAGAAGAGTATTACTCATCTTAGCATTCTCTTCTCCATTCCTGGAGGTCAGTGCTCGCTCTGAGTTTGATGTGAACAGTTGTCAATTCTGTTGCACCCACACTATTGAGAACGTAAAGTCCTCAACAGGAAGAATTAAGCAGTAGATTAATGATGTGGTGCTGCACTGCAGTAAATAGTTCGTTGTTTAAATGGTCTGTAATGAAAACTCTTTCTCCTTTGTGCAGTCTGGAGCAAAAGCACTCCACCTGCTCCAGATAATGGTACGTCCGCCTGGGGTGAGCCAAATGAAACCAGTCCTGGGTGGGGTGAAGTAGATGATACAGGAGCATCGACAACAGGCTGGGGGAATGCACCTTCCAACGCCCCGAATGCCATGAAACCTAGTGAGTATAGGCCAGATACCAGTTTCTTTGCAACGGTCCTGGAGATTTTTAGTGTTTGGCCTTTCGATATAGGTCACCCATGGAGGAATTGTTATCCGAGGCCTAGAAGCAATGTTGAATGTCATGTAAGATTTTGATGGATGAGTTGATTAAGTGCTTACAAATGACTGGGACTTTGTCTTTTAAGGTAAAGAAAAGTTTCTTAGCTAAGCCATTAAATGGAAAAGCTCTGATTTGTGGAAGTGTTGAAACATTAGAGCTTGTGAGGGAGGAAATATGGTGGGTTTTTTTCTCAGAATATCTTTTCTTTTCTGGCTGCCCACATGTTCCTTAGCTTATAAACTTGTTGCATGATAAATCACTTTTCCTGATCATATCAGAAAAAGGAATGCACAGTGCCGACACACTTCACAGTGGAGGCACACTATTACTTTGCATAGTAATCTGTGCTTTGGTAATGCAACTTCTTTTCATTGGATGGGGTCTTTTTGTGTGGAAAATTGTAACCCTTAAGAACTGAACTTTCACTTGTGGTCGAACGTAAGTGGATGACTATTATCTGGATATTAGCTGCCTACAGCTGTGTTCTTCATGAATGAGATACTGTGGAAATATTTTTTAAAAATTACGTAAAACTTATGATTTTTATGTATTAAAAGTTTTATTTTTGTAGAAATGATTTTTGCTGATGTAAGCTGGTTGCGTAGAATTTTTATTTTGGTATTTTTAAGGAAAATTACAACAAACAACAGTAATCATCTGCTGATACAGCATAGCAACATTATAGCCGAAGCCAATAATGTTTGGATATGAAGTTTCCAGTAGGAAGTACTGATAATGTGATTGTTACTGAACTTGACTAATGATGCCTGCTGTAAAACTGTTTCCAGTTACAAGTTGCTTTTGCAACATGTAATTGTTTAGAATTAAATGCTTTATATAGATGGTATGCTGTGGGGTCACTCTCCCTCTCTCCTACCCCAATTAAACAGTTTGGCCATTTGTGAAACAAGACTGGGGAAAAAAGCATTGCTTCCTTAGGGTTAACAGTATAGCAGCCTTTCTTGGTTGGCTGTAGTGCTTCCTGTGCTTGCCACACAACCTCAGCACTATTCAGGACGCTAAACTTTTTTTTAGGCGGATCTCTTCTTTGATCTGTAAAAAAGCCACCTAAAAATGGCCAAAATCAGAGCCCCTGAAATGCTAAAGATCCACTGCAGATTCTGTGGATTTGTTAATGCTTACGATAGGACAAGCAAGTGACCACACGTAGTCTTTAAAGACTAACTGGTCTTCATGTGTGACAGAAAGAGCTGCAGCATGTGTGTAGTATTTTGTATGTAAGTTGTCCCCAGCTCTAGAGCAGCAAAATATAGGGAGTTTCCTATGATGGCTCTTTGAGGCTGGGGTGTTGTAGGTCACCAGTGTTAAGACCTGAGATCTTCATTCTCCTGTGTTCTGTGACTGCTCTCTAAACTCCTTTCTAATTGGCACCCAGAAGGACTGAAGAAGAAAGCTACGTTATTCAGTGATGTAAGGGGAGATTTAATGTCTTGGATAAGTTGGAAGAAGGAATTGGGACAAAGAGCCTGCAAAGGCATAATTTTGGTTGAAGGTAAGGACAGGAAACGGACACTAGCAATGATGGGAAAAGAAAGCAAGAGTTTAGATCCAAAGAAGGGAAGCCTATTTAAAAAACACTGTCCACCTGTTTAAAAAAATGGGTTTACATAGCTTTGCCAGCATTACATAGGAATTCTCTGGCAGAAGTAGGAATCAATTCTGTTTTCTGACACATCATTATTTTGTCTTTATCTTTCAAGTTTTCCTTTGTTTACTGTAGCCATTTGTGCCTCCTTGCTCAACAAATGCAGAAAATGAAGCAGGAATCCTACAGACAAGTTATCTTTACACTCCTGTCCAGATTCATGTTCAAGAATGTCAGACCTGAGAGCTGTCAATCTAGAAAAATAATCTGTGGTCATGTAGTTAAAACCAGGATCATGGTACTATATTTAAACACTGGTGCACAAAATAAATAAAAGCTGCAGGGAGTACCCCATATATGACATTTCCAGGTTAAGTTCTTGACTGCAGTCATAATTCTTTGGTGTAACCATTTCGGTGTAAGTGGCATGATTAAAGGGTCAAGAGGTGGATTTTTGGGCTTGGACCAGTGTTTTTCCTAAGCAGCCCTCAATTTCGGTACGCAAATGAATATACTTTTAAAAAGTGTATTTCCTGTGAAGTATCTGTTTAGAAATAGATACATATCTGTTATTTATGATAGATTTTAAGGTAGCTCTTAAACAGCCATGAAGTGCTGCTGTACTTGTCTTCAGCATGATCGAGGCAGAGTTCCCTCTGATAACAGACTAATTACATACAATTCCTGACTTTTTTGTCATATTCAGATTTTCTGCTGTGTGTGTTAATATCCTTAGCCCTGAGTTCCACACTCAAACCCCAGATATTTGAAGAATTAGTTACAAAAAGGTGGGATGATGGAAATCTTTTCTTAAAGGTGATGTGTGCTTAGGGAATAAATATGCAGAATGAAGAGTTCCAGCAGGACGGGGAACAGTTGGACAGTGGACAAGATGAGGATTTGAGCTCTTGTTGGCTTCTCCATTGGAGTTCGAATGCTACGTTGCCTCACAGCTGGTGCTAGGGAGTAACAGCAAGAAAAGAAGGAAACAGGGAGAAGTCCTGAGTCTGAACTGATAAGATAAATTGGTTGTAGCTTTCTGGAAGTGGCATCTCTATTTAAACATCACTGCTAATAAGTCTTTTTAGTGACATTGTTAAGAACTGAGAAATTCAAGTAGAGGTGGGGTTTTTCCACATTAAACTACTTTTGGGGTTACATGTACCAGAGCACAACGTCAGGTCTTTTCTTCAGATTCTACTTAGTTGTTACTCTGTAAAATGTTTCTGGTTCTGTAGTTCTGTGAGAGAGTTTAGTGCAAGGGAAGTGTTATGGTTTTGAAGGAAGAGAGGAAATAATTGATAAGCCACCTGAACCAGAGTGCTCAGCACCCTTGGGTTTCTTGTCCTGGAAGTCTTTCATTTACACTAGAAAATAATAGGTTGCCTTTTAAAGAAACCCAAATGCAGCTCTATACATATAAGAGAAGAGGTCCCTATGGCTCTTTTGTCTTCAAGGGTTTGACATTGCTTTAAGGTAGTTGCAAAACATGACGTGTTAACATGCCACCGAATCTCTTGGGGTTTGGGATTCACACACAAGTTTTTACAGCTGTTAGAGTGAAGAGTCTTTTTTTTAATTACTCCTTTGGGGTTCTGATGATCTCAGCTAATCTTGCAGCGTCAAATCACCAGCTGCATGGTATCGTAGACTGCTTTTGAGCTTTTTTTTTTCCTTTCTTTTTCTAAAGGTTCTAAATCTATGCAAGATGGCTGGGGAGAGAGTGATGGGCCAGTGACAGGAACGCGTCATTCCAGCTGGGAAGAGGAGGAGGAGGGAGGAGTCTGGAACACAGCAGGCTCTCAGGGAAGCAGTTCCTCCCACAACTCAACAAGCTGGGGGCAAGGAGGAAAGAAAACACAAATGAAGGTAAAATGCATGAATGATTTATTACTACTGCGTGTCTGAAAGCAATGACTGATATATTAAAGCATTATAATAGTTCTTTTAAAAAAGTAATACAGGATTCAGCTAGAAAGGTGGCTGTTACAGCAGTGTAAAAATGGGAGGTTTTTGGATTTGTTGTAATGTATTACACCTGTTGTCACTAGTGTATCTGCCAGTAGGGGTCAAATTCTTTTGGTACGTAAGCTGCAGGGGCATTACTAAATGTAACTGAGCAGTAAGTATCCCAAGCCTATAGCTCTTCTTTTGTTGACACATCTTTGTGTTAGGCAGCTGCTGTTCACCTTGCATAGCCTGCTGAAAAACTTTGGCACATGCACTTCTGTTTCTACTGTCTGTTTTATTTAGGCCTGGCTTGTTCGCTGCTATTGACCTTTGGCCTCAAACAGGAGCAGGAGCTTGGCTATAGTCCCAAGTAAATTGCTTTCTAAGGCTTCTTTGCATTAGAAGTTTTCTAGTACAGTAACACTTGGTACTGTATTAACATTAGGACTGTGCTTTTTCTGCTTCTAATCACACAGGTAGGGCAAACTCAGAAGGCAAGTGTGGAGCAGCTTCCTAGGACTTGGAAATACTGTTGTGACGTGGGATGGAGTTTCACAATTCCTATTTTACAAAAATTATTCTCATGAACTTGTTTCTCACTTAAAGCTTTTTTATTTTAACCACCAGAACGACTGTCCAAAAATAACTTTCTGTTGAACTGTGCTCAGTTTAGGCTTTGATCACCTGTAAATTACAGTAAGGCCATATTGAGAACCATGTCAGCACAGTGCCTGTGTAAGAGAAACTGTACTAACAGTGAACAATTTTATGAGAGACAAAAGAAGAAGTAGTATTTGGTAAATGTTTCCAACCACACAAAATGTTCCAAGTAATTTGTTCAGGAGATTAATTTCTCTGATAGCAGGATTTTAATTCGTCACATGTGCATCCCAAGGATACAACCGAATTGCAGAAATCAAGAAGTTGATTAAGAATATTTTTGTCTTGATGTGTTTTTTTTTCTCTTCAGTGTGCATTGAAAGGAGGAAACAGTGACTCATGGATGAACCCTTTATCCAAACAGTTCTCAAATATGGGCTTGCTAGTAAGTAAAGTTTTTAAAATAAAATAAAATCTAATAAAAAAAGCAGTAAGCTTTAAATAAGTCAAAAGGTCAGCTGTTTCACAGTGTGTACTTACCTGCAGCAACTATGCTGGCAAGTTGATTGATGCCTGTACTAGCAGGGTATGTAGCACTTCTTGCTAGTCAGAATGGCTTCTCAGAAAAAAACAAATTCTACTTTGACTCTTTGACATAAAGTTACTTTATGACAGCTGTTGTTCTGAGATTGCAATTCCCGTGCAAGTAATAGGATTTGGCTTTTTGTTTAGTTGTGGTATTTTTGTTTTCTTTTGTTTGGGTGATTGTTGGTGGGTGTTTTTTCCCCCATTACCTGCTGTTTATGTTTAGAGCGCTCAAGGTAGAGGCCTCAGCTCCTGGCTGTAGCATCGGACATCTGCGATTAGTCGAAGGCTGTTCATTCTGAACCTGTTGGAAAAGGAGATTTACAACCCTGTGTCTGTCATGGCTATTTATATTTTAAATACTGTGCAGCAGGGCCTTTTTAGAACAAAAAGGGCTCATTATTAATCAGTTCTTAAAACACTGATAGAGTGAATACATAAACAGCACATCACGGAGAGAAAAGACAGATCTGCAGGGAAATATATCTTAGAAATAGTTATAAAATTTTTAAAAAAGAACTTCTGACGTGCTCATTTGTAAAACATTTTACAGAATATTGTGCCAACTGTCATCCTGTGAAGCAGGAATAGCCTGTGATGCAGTCTGGCGAAAGTTAATAATGCAGAGGCTCTGTGACAAGCCCAGGTCTGCGCGAACTGTCACGGACATGACTAGGATTAGTTTGTAATGTCCGTTGGCTCCCAAGCTCAAATTCAGTCGGCTAGGCTGTAGGAGCTTCTGAAAGCTATGGGAACACCCTGTCCCGGACTGCCAACTAAAGAATAACTTGGCGGCACATTTCAAGATTTGGTGACTTGACAGGTCATGAGGATGAGCTATCATTTTGGCCCCTATTTTCAGTGTTTCATCTCTCGACCACTGGAACATGAGGATAGAGGCTCATTTCACAGAGCAGCTGTCTGTCCATCTTTCTCTGTCGCATGCACTCATGTGTCTGGTTTCACATGGGTAAACCTCCCACACACAGCATTAGGGGGTTGAGGTGAGGTGTGTCCAGGATGATGTCAGGATAGATCATGGTTTTGGTTTAGTTTAAAAGAACGGTTTCATTGGCACAGGCATGTCCTTCCTTCAGTCCACCTTTAGCTGTCAAGGGCTGCTTTCTGAAACATTCCTCAGCATTTCAGAGAAGTCAGAACTGATTTTTATTTTCTTTTTCCCCCAGAGTCAAACTGAGGACATTCCAGGCAGTAAGATGGACTTGTCTGTAGGTGCGTATAATTTAATTTAAATATATTTGAAATACTAGGTTGTGTGTAATATTTTGATTCTCCTCCTATACTCGGCACTGGTGAGGCCGCACCTCGAGTACTGTGTTCAGTTTTGGGCCCCTCACTACAAGAAAGACATTGAGGTCCTTGAGCGTGGCCACAAGAAGGGCCACAAAACTGGTGAAGGGTCTGGAGAATATGTCTTATGAGGAGCGACTGAGGGAACTGGGCTTGTTTAGCCTGGAGAAGAGGAGGCTGAGAGGAGACCTGATCACTGCCTACAACTACCTGAAAGGAGGTTGTGGAGAAGTGGGTGTTGGTCTCTTCTCCCTAATGACAGATGATCGGACGAGGGGGAATGGACTCAAGCTGCGCCAGGGGAGGTTTAGATTGGATGTAAGGAAGAAGTTCTTCACTGAAAGGGTTATCACACACTGGAACAGGCTGCCCAGGGAGGTGGTGGAGTCACCATCCCTGGATGTGTTTAAGAGACGGGTGGATGAGGTGCTGAGAGATATGGTTTAGTGGCGGACAGATACGGTTGGACTGGATGATCTCTAAGGTCTTTTCCAACCTAGTGATTCTATGATTTTTATGTGGATGACATGCTGTGCTTTGGCAAGGTTTGAGCTTTACTTTTGGCACTCCTCGTAATAGAAAGGTAGAGTTAGAGCATCAGTATCTTTGCTGTAGGCTTTGAATAGTTATGCAGCTGATGTTGGTAAGCAAGTTTGGGATATATCCCTGCACAGAACAGAGCTATGAATTGGAAGGCACATCCTATAAGACTGTCTGATCCATGTAGTTTGTATTCATTGTTACTGTTTCAAGAAAGTGAAGATACCTTTACATTTGGAGGAAGAGGACTGTTTTAGCTCTTGGCAGTAGGACATATTGGGCACCAAAGAAGTCTGTTGTGGTTTAGCCCCAGTAAGCAACCAAACACCACATGGCCACTTGCTCACCTCCCCTCCCTAGCCCCCACAGTAGGATGGGGGAGAGAATCGGAAGATAAAGGTAACATGTGAGTTAAGAATACGTCAATAATTGAAAGTAAATTAAAAAATTATAATAATGCTAGTATGTAATACAAATACTACTGCTATTAATAATGATAATAATAACTATTTTTTTTAAAAAAGGAAACAGGGAACGAAAACAAAATGGTACAGCTGCTCACCACCAGCTGACCGATGCTCAAATAGTCCCCCAGCAGCTATTCCCCAAGCAGCCAACTCCCCCAGCTTAGATACTGAGCATGACATCTTGTGGCATGGGATGTCCCTTTGGTGAGTTTGGGTCAGCTGTCCTGGCTCTGTTCCCTCCCAGCCTCCAGTAGTGAAGCAACTGGGAGCACTGGGGCAGTAGAAACTGAGAAAGTCCTTGGCTTGATATAAATATTCGTTAGCAACAGCTATGAACATCAGTGTGTTGTCAACATTCTTCTCAGCACAAATCCAAAACTTAATCTCATAGTAGCTACTGTGCAGAAAATTAACTCCATCCCACCAAAAACCAGCAGAAGGTGATGTGAGGGAAAAGACTATCTTCTATCTTGGACTTCTTCAGTTGCGTGCCTCAGGCAAGTTAACTGCTCAGCAGAGCTAGATTGTTCACTCACCACAAATACTGTGCAGCTTAAGTGGGTTGGACTGTGTGGAAACCACTGTCCTAAATGAGAGTCAAAATTGACCACTTGGATTGGTCCCATTTAATCCCTTTTTGGATCTGTCATGACTTTATTCCTTGGCAAACTAAGTAGGGAACTCAGAATTTTTTTTTTTCCGTCTTAAAACCAGATTTAGTTTTGCATTTTGTTCTTCTCCATATTGTCTCTGAATATTCAGGCTCATGGTATTGCAATAGAAATGCAATCTTCTGCCTTTTGAGATGGTTTGTTTATAAGATTCCTAAGGTATATATTGAAACAGGGATGGTCCAAATATGTGGTTCCTATTGTCTATTTGTTATCAAGTCTTTGAAGGCTTAGCAAGGCTAAAAGCTTGTACAGGATAGTCTTTGATACTTATAAAGGAGAAGTCTAGGGACTACTTCAGTTTTTGATTCTTCAAAATCTACAGAAGGAGGAAGATCACCTCATATCCCTGGCTACAAAGGCAGATCTCCTAGTCTACTTAGAGGATGCTGCTGCGGTACAAACCAACAGTAATTTTGGTGATGTTCATCCTATTTCTGTAACTGTCAGGAATGTCACAGAGGCCTCGGATTCCTCTCGGTTACAGTGTCAAAAGCCAGAGGTCTGTAATTCTTACTCCAGAGGATGGTATGTCAAAATAGTAGTGGTATTCTCAGCTCTCATCTGGAACAGTGAATTTCCTGTGTAGATGAGGTATGCCCTTGTGGGCTTCAGAGAATTGTGTGTGTAGTGGTTCTGTGTCGGGAAGGGATCCCGTATCAGTGCAAATCAAGTTTGGTACGAAGGTGTGGACAGTGTCATGTGATCAGCACGGCAATGCACAGTATAGCTGCTGCGCAGTAACAGTTTAATCTGTTTCATGCTCAAAAACATCGCAGTACCAAGCTGCTTGTTTCCAGCTACTGCTGCATAATAGCAGAAGTTTCAACCTCAGCTGAGACTTGGCTGCACAGAAGCACAAAGTGCTGCTGAAAGGACAGAAAGGACTTGGTAAGAAGGGGAGGGTGGGCTGGAGGAAGTGACTAACTTGGTATCAGTGCTTATTGTGCTGGTGGTTCTAAAGCTCCTGTAGGAGACTGTCAGTTGAATACGGATGATCCCATGGTGGTATCTCTGAAGAACCACCTGCAAAAGTAGTTCTTTATCAGGTCATAGTCTGTGGGATTTCTGGATCAACTAAAATCGGTGTTTACAAGTCAAGTACAGTTAGTTTCAAAATGTGTTCTGAAATTCATTTCTGTAAGCTAGAACGGTGTAGGGCCTGTGATACGAGTTGGCTCTGTCCAGCATCAGGGGTAGAATCTGTTTACTCCTGAGGTGTTACCTGCCAAAGTAGTTACGGAATTCAGTTCTGTGACTGACTGTGTGCTAAGCATTAAGCAATCTCACTTTCCAGCATCATGTACATCCGCGGTTTGGTGCATTGGGTCCTGTCTTTGTGGCAGCTTTTGGTTTGTTTCATTGCCTGATGGGTTTTTTTGCATCTAAACATTGAATAGTGATAATAAGGAAGGACATAGTAGCAAGAGCTGTTTGTTCAACTCTCAGGTAAGTACAGCCTTCAGTTTTATGATTTAATAGATGTCAAGACAGTTGACTAGTCTGATGTGTTCCCCCCTCAGCCCCAGAAAGTAATACAGTAGATTCTGCTTTCCTCTAAAGTGTCTTCTGTCCTAGTGATACAATGGCCATATGATTGAAATTGAACCTGTGCTGTGGGGGCTCCTTGTCACAGTGGAAAACTAGATGGCACAACTTCAAGCCCTGCAAATGCAAGCAGTCTAACCATTCTTGCTCTGTTGTTGACCCTTTTTGTACCAGTGCTGTCACCAGCTTCAGTACTTCCTCATCTGCACCACGTGTGATGCTGTAGTGAAGGATTTTCCTAACCAAAAAACGTCTTTTTTTGAGAAAATCCATTAATCTTTGTTGGTACCAAAGGTAGAATTGTGGTAGTCAAGACTTAACTTGCATCTAATATCAACGCCAGATTTGGTATTCTGATGCAGTCTCCATAGCTGCAGTGTCTCTCAGCTTAGAATTCATTACATTGTTAAAATGTGTATCACATTTCATAGAGGATTAAGTAGGTAGTTATCCCTAAAATTGCTTTCTTCCTCTGAATAGTTAAGGATCCCAATAAGAGATGTTAAAGCATGCATTTATACTGTACTACACAGTTTTGGGCAAAGTAACAGCATTTTTGGATCTCTCCACTTTGGAGTCATACAGCCTGTCTAGAATTCAGGCTCTGATTGCATCATCCTTCTCTGAAGATCTTCTCGGCAGAGATAAGTCTTGGACATTCAGTTCTCATCTGTCTTGATGCTGCTGTGAAAGAACAGGTCTAAAGAATATGCAAACGAAGAGGATGGCAGCCTGGACTAGGCTGATCATAGCACTCTTAGTTACTTATCTCCAAATTAAGCTTTTGGAGCCTTTAGAACTTTCTGCTGTCAAGGACCTCAAGGCCATCAGACCTGAGACCTTTAATCCTGTGAAATGGTGCAGAAAGGTTGCATACTTGATATGTTGCACCTCTTCTAAGTTTACTGTGTCCATTAATGGTGGCAGCCTTGATCCTACGTAGAGGCATTTTAGTGTTTGGTATGGAACATAGAATGTAACAGATCTTCCTGAGGCGTTTCTGTTACTTCTCTGCTTAGCAGTTTTGCTCTTGTTGCTTATGGCAGTTGCTTGTGGTGTTTTGCTCAGCCTGTATCTACTTCTAAACTTAAAAGGTTGGGCTTACTTTTTAGGTAGGCTAGCTCTACAGCTGGTTTTCAGTCAGGATTACAGCATACCCAGTTTTCCTAGCTAGGTACCTAGTATATTTTACCTGCTTAGGGATAGCTACACATTGATCTTAGGGTTAAATCTGTGCATGGAGACCACACATATCAAAGAAAACTTTGGCTTTGGTATGCACGGAGCACCTTGTCTCTGATGATCCTGCATTGTAGAACAGGCCCAGTTGTCAGTAAGTAATTCTGACTACATTGGTCTCAATGTGTTGCTTCTGTTGCAAGGTGCTGGAGTGACACTTCTATTTACTGACCAAGACAGAAATATGGGTCAACAGTATGCCTGAGGCAGAGCTACTTCCTCTTTTTTTAGATTTTTTTTTTTCTATCAAATCCCTTCAATGGAAAGCTTCTTCTACTTTGAAAATAGGATACAACTTTTTTTTTCTGTTGCAATCTCTCCTTGTATGCAAGTCCTCAGGCATGAAGTTTGCTACAGTAAGTAGCTTGTCAGAAACACTTAATTTTTTTTCTTTTCCTCTGTTTGACAACCACCTTTGTCTTTTTTTTTCTTTTTTTCTCCTTAATGTATTAGTTGTGGCCTCTCCAGATCACTGAATTCTCTAATAACCTGTAAAGACTAGGAAATTAACTTTCAATTTCTGTTCATTCTAAAGCAATTCACGCAGCTGTCTGTTGTAAATGAGTTACAAAGCCACAACCTGATTTAACATTCAGGTGCAACACCTCCATAGCCGAGTGCATGTGGTTGCTCAGTAAGCTTGGATGATGTAAATTTATGGCAAAGGTATCAAACAAATATCTTTAAAATGTTTCCATTCTTGTTATCAAGCAGTAAACATGTTTCAAATGTGTTTTTTCCCTTTGGTTACCCTTCTGGGTGTATGTATTTTCACCCCGTTGAGTCTCTTGTTTGCAAATGTTTCAGGTAGCTTTGCTCAACAGCAGTTTGTCCCCTGTCTCCTGGTACAGGATCATGTTACATAATTCTCTTTGTGTAGAGGTTTTTCTTTTAAGCTGCATGCATATGGTGGGAGAGATCTACTTAAGGCTGTTTGCTTCACTAGGTTGTAAGTGTAATTTTCCAAGCTCTTGTTTCATTTTGCATTTTTCACGGTGTTTCTCACAGCAGTTAATAGTGGGAAAAATCCAAGAACCGATGTATTGTTTTATTTTATGAAGATGGTTGGGCTTTTAATCTGTTCTACCTCTCTGCATGCAGAGGATTTGGGGCTTCATATTTGTTCATGCACAAGTGGTGTTGTCTACTGCAGAGGGTAAAATTCAAACTTTTAAGATTTCAACTGTCATTTTGTGCTATGTGAGGTGTAACGTCAGTCTTCAGCCACCTGCATTATTTATGAGTTTTGTTGGCAAGTGCAAGAGACAGACTCACAGGACCGGTTTCAGGGTTGCATTAGAATTTTCTATGAATGGGATGGATGAATGCTATCTCTCTTAGCAAGGCCTTCTTTATACTGATGTTTCAGCAGCTGCCTCAGCACTAAGTGGCATGCATATCTATGCTAGAAGCTTTAAAGGTGCTGTTTAAGGCTCTACATGTTACTTAACAAGCCTCGTCATTCAGTGATTTTGGGGAGTCCTGATTGGATCATCAGGATAACTGAAGAGACAAAAGGGTGTTTCTGCGGCTTAGTCATCTTGTGTTGGCATTGACAGTGGTTTCATTTCAGATAGTGATGCAACTCAGTTGGGCTTTCAGTTTCTCTTCAAGCAACTAACAACCAGGGCTTCCTGTCTAGATTTAAAGCATACCAGCCTTGGTAGTGCACTGCTGGCATTGTGTGTAGTGGTTAGATGTAAGTATTGACAGGATTGAGGTGTGTGTGACACTTTGTGACTGCTTTTGCGGATCCGGATATGTTAGAAAGGGATGAGCTCATCCAGGTGGTATGACTCCACTTAAAGCCAAGATATGTAAGTGATTTGTCAAGTGGTGTTGTGATAAAGATTGAAGGCATCTGAGAGGATGAAGCTGGATCAACTTTGAAACCTGTGCCAGCAAGGAAAACCCACGCAATTAGTGGTTGATTTCATAGGTTCTTGGCAATAACATGCTTATGAATATTAATAGCTAGTGATTGGACATAAAGACCAGATGCTGGCTTTGAGAAGCTTTTTTGAGGAACAGATAAGTGTTTTGAAAGTATTAGGGTGATCAGCTGTCTGCTCTGTTTGATAAAGACTTAGTGTTTTGTCAGTGGTAGGGGAGGATATCTATCACCAGCTTCCTTCGGAGAAGTCAACAGATTTTGGTAAACTGTAGTGATAGGTTTTTTAACTGTTCTTTGAAAGGCCACCTGTGCTACTAAACAAAATTATTTAAAATAATTTTTAAAATACCAGTAAGTCTCATTTCTATCATGTTGTTCATATTTTAAGGCAAAGATGTTTTCCATCTGCTTCAATGGAACAATATGCACCTGATATCTTACAGGTGCCAAATAGGACCAAAATTTGTTCTTTAGCAGCAGTTCAGCATGTAAAGTAGAAAACTTCCTTCAGTCAGCACTTGGCTGATGATAGGCTTATAGAGAAAGGTGACGTCTTGTTCACTGTATATGTTACAGTTTGGTCATCTGTTATTAACATCTCTTCCTCGTGTTCTACCAGACTACTCACTAAAAGATGGCAGGAGATGTTTGAAAAGTGTCTTTCTTACTGTTTGTATTGTATAGTCACTACAGGCTGGGGGAGATAGGTTGTTCGGCTGGATGATCTGTGGTGTTCACGAGTTAAGTTCACATTACTGTAGGAGAGCTGTGATCAAATTATGTGCGTGGCTTTGCAGTGTGAGAAGTTCTCCTCTCAGTGCCAAACCTAGTAAAGGCAAAGTAGAATACATGGAGAACTTGAATAGCGATGTGTCTATAGATACTGAATACCAACAAATATCAGTGCAAGTTTTGAAAGACGTTAAGAATTATGTATGGATCAGTATCATTAGTTGAACTAGGCCTCTAGAAATGCATATGTTTATATCTGTACATAAATTGTGAGAAATGCGTCCTATCAAACTCTAAACTGGTTTGTTCAGTCATCAAAATGAAACTTTCTACTTCCAATTTGTCAACATTTTCAGTAGCGACTGTAGCTATGCTAAATTTTAGGGAGATCTAATTTGTACCTTAATCCTAAAGATACCTTCTTTGGCTGCGAACCTGCTGTCATGAAATGTGGTAGAGATTATTGGCACTAATTTAGTTGTCTTTCCTCCTTTTTTTTACAGGTGGTCTCCCAGATAAGAAGTTTGAGGTAGATAAACGAGCCATGAATCTCGGGGATTTTAATGACATGATGAGAAAGGATCGATCTGGGTTCCGTCCACCTAATTCCAAAGACATGGGAACCACAGATAGTGGGCCTTATTTTGAGAAGGTGAGAGAACTATGTTCAGATGAATTAGTATCAACCTCTGTGTTCGAGGTCCCAGTTTTGACCCTACTGCTCTGGAAGTGCTAAATATTCAGTAACCTTGGACAAACTCAATAAAAGTTGTGGAGGAGTTATGTTTGTAGAATGAATGTGTATATAAAACAGGTGTCAGATGTGCATAGACAAACTAAATTATCTGGGGAGAATGAGGCACTTTATTCTAGAACAGACTGCTCTTAATATGGACAGAAATTCCTTTGTTTTTCTTGGAAGGGTAAACTACTGGTAGCAATGAAATTCATTTTAGGTTTCATCACAATGATTCTTTTGGCTACTGACTACAATTATCTACTGTAAAAAAAAAAAAATTGGTTTAGATCTAAGTAAACATAAGTAATCACAGTCTTCCAAATTTTTTTCTGCTTTCATGTCTGTCGTTTATTGGAAACACCCTTTCTAAATTCCACAAGCCCTTATGCTGTATGTCCGTGTACTGTAAGCTTCTGTATGGCATCTGTTTCTCTGTGACATCTGTTGTATGTTATGGGAGCGTTTCTTTCATATTCTTGCCTATTTGAAATAGAAGCTTTCACTGTTATTATCAAACATTAATTGCTTCAAATTATTAATTGGAGAGTGTCCAATAGATTCAGAATGCTTTAGGGGGTTTTAATGTAGTTTATCACATGTAAAATGGAAAAGAAATGGGGTTTAAAAATTCTGAAGGCGTGTTACTGTCAGTGAATTTTAACTCCTCCATTTTGGTATAACAGGCCCAAAACCAGTTTTGTCAACTCCCTCTGGTGGCCTAATTAATAAATACCACTAGCAGAGCTAAGACACTCCTGACAAATCATGTTTGTAGTTGTGTGCTAACATTAGGAATTCATTCAAGATTTGTTTGTTTCTGTAGCGGTAATAGCCACTGTCAGAAACAAACTTTGTGAAAACTCAAAATGTATTTTTGAAAAGAAACCTTTAGGGGTTTATTGATTATCTCTGTGGACCAAAATCTTCACTGTCAGAGGATCATTTGAGTCAGAAGTTTTGTCCTTGTAATTGCTATTACGAATTAACTTTGCTTCTTCCTAGTCACTCACCGTCCCTCTTTCTCTTCTCTTGCGTTCTGTTGCTTCACTAACCAACTCCTGCTGTTGGCTAACTGCTGCTTCAGCTGACTTTGCCTTTCTCCAATCAAGATGGGTGCCTTGGGGATGAGGCTCCCTGCTCTCCCTTCTCCCCTTCTCCCAGCTACAAGCTGTCTCCCTCTGGTTCCACATTATCCAACGTCGGCCTTGGGGCAATCGGCTCAGGGCTCAGTCCCCAAAACTTCGCTGCTAGACAAGTAAGCAGGCCACCTTATAAGATGCATTGTTATAAGGCTGCAACCTGGGCTTAATCCTGGTTAGTTGGTTGCTTGCATTTGTTTTTCTACTAAATAAATTAATATTGTTGATGAAAATTTCAGCTATATCAGGCCATTGAGAATCAATCCACTTTAGTTCCTATCATCAAAATGTGTTCCATCTGCATTTGTTGGCCTCTTACTTCCTGAATCACAGTGCAGCAGCAGATAAATGTGCTTTTCAGAAGTCATGAAGTTAGTGGCAACCCTTATATTTTAATTGCTGTTTTAAAACCCAGTTAGAGGCTGTTGACTTGCCCCACCACCCCCCAACACTGAATTTTTTCCAGATTCCACCCAATGACCTTGTGTGCAGAGTTGTGCCTTCAAAAAATTGCAGTCATTTTGCATTGCGCTTGTTCCCTTCTCCCTTCCCACAGCCCAAAGAAAGGACTGATTTAGCAGCCTTTAAAAATTCTTGAAGTAGCAATATTTTTGTTCTGTATGTGGGGGAACGGTGGGGAAGAAATGAAGTGGTTAGCTGCAGTTTGGAAGGGTTTCTGGCTATTATGTTCTGCATTGTGCTAGAAGAAAATGTTGAGGGAATGCTGGGAAGTGAAAGAATAGGAGCTAAGGATTGCAACAGCGCTAGCTTATGTAGTCACATGCCTAACGTGATGGTGTTTCTTTGTGTTGTCTTTCTGTTTCTATGTGACACAAATCAGTGTTGAACATCAGATTAAGTTCAAAATTTGCTGGCATGTTCTTGGATTTGGAGCACAGAACTCTGTTGAGCTTCAGGGAGGGCCGGAAGTGTAGATGCAGCTTCAAGCTGCTCAAAAATTTTAATGTGTAGTTGATCCCAGACAGTTCTTTCCAGAATAAAAACTTTTTGTCTCTTGGGGTTTTTTGGTTATGCTCCTGTGTGCTTAGTATGGCATCTTCAGTTGCTTCTCAAAGAGAAGGTACATTAAGGAGGTGAAATGCAGGTGAATGAGGCAATCCATAATGCTGCCAGTATAGAAGCAGGATGAAAGACTTTGTTTTAGCAGAAGGGTAGTGGAGGATGCGCAGTATTACAGTAGAAGAGAGGCAAAGTTTATGAAATCCCGGTATATAAGGGAAGGAAAGGTTTTGTAGAAGGTCCTGCACAATCTCGGTTTGAAAGAATGCTGAATTTATGTTGGGTACAGCAGAGCTGGCGTGGAGAAGGGGAATAGAATGATGGCTGAGGGCTAGAAAATGTGCTTTTTAGAACCCCAGGTATCTGAGGATCACAGACACCCTGATATACAGCAGAAGATGGGAAATTCTGAGGGTCTTGAAAATGAAAGGACAGAATCATGGCACATAAGGACCTTTTGAAGTATGAGCTTCAGCTTTTAGAAGCAACAGTGTGTGACTGTTAGCGTAGGAGACCATCCATATAACATTTCCTGTGGCTTTTGTTGAAAGATGTTACAAAGACAGTCCGCTCAGAGGCTGAAATAGTGAAACATAATCACGAATTTTCTTTGGTCTTTGTCATGCAGTAGGGTTTATTATTACAGAAGTTCCTTGTAAAACAGTAAATACTTCTCATCTTAAAAAAATCAGAAGAAATAGCAAGTATTCATGTGTTAGAAAATAAATCACTGGGCGGAAAAAACCACACAAAACCCACAAGCATTTTTTCTCACTTGAAAATTTTACCACTCTTCAATTTAGTGGGACAAAAAGGAAAAGAAAAACATCCCAGTCCAGAATGATGAAATATTCACATCAGAAGGAAAAATTCAAATAACACTTTGAATTCTGATTTCAGTTAGTGAAAGGCCTGCAGAGGAAGTAATAGGCTTGTGAGTGATATCTCAGCAACCTACTCAGAAAAAGTACCTGAATTTTTTTAAAATGATGGCCCAAAATTCTCGCTGACACAGTCTTACCATACTTCTAAGCCAACGGAATGCTTTTTTTGACCCTTTTTTTTTTTTGTACTCCCAAGTTTCCATTTCCCAGCATGTAAAGTGCAAATATAAGACATTGGCTTTATGCGCTTTGAAATAAGTGGATAAATGTGACTAATCAGTGAGACGAGAAAGAGCCAGCAGCTCAGCAAAGCAGTACAGCAGTGTTAACCCAGGTAGAATATTACTCATTTAAGTCAAACATGGCAGTAATGCTAAGTGTACTCTGATTAGGTCAGTACTTGCCTCATTGTTACTGATAATGTAGTTGATAGCACAGAAATCCATTATCCTGAAAGATTCATCTTCTCACTACTGCTTTAATTTTATAGGGTGGCAATCATGGTTTGTTTGGAAACAGCACAGCACAATCGAGGGGCATGCACACACCAGTGCAGCCACTAAATCCTTCCCCCAATATCCGGGCGCAAGTGCCTCCCCAATTTCTTTCTCCCCAGGTAAGGAATTTATAGTAACTGGTTACTTGTAAGAAGCAGAGCTACGGCCTTCAGAGCACATCACTGAGATTACATACACATCTATCTTAGTCTTGACTTGATGTTAAGAAATCAAAAGATTAGGTAAGACAAAAAATTAAAATTCATAATTGAAAGTACTTAAAACTCAGTGCAGAAGAATTAGCCTTCTTTCTTATTCGAAGAGAGTTGATGGTAAATGCTTGCTACCAGTATTTTTAAACCTCAGAGTGGATTCAGAAGTCCCATGTCTTAGACAGGCTTTTGCAAAGTATTTTTAAAACAACCAAAAAAAAAAAAAAAGTGAAAGCTGAAAGTTTTTCTGAAGTGTGACAGGTTGCTTAATTTTTTTCAAGCAGTCTTGTCCTGTGCTTCCTGCCCCCCAGAAAGAGAGGCCTGGTGAAGGGCTACACGTTGCATTTACACTGCAGAGCAGTTAAGACCTCAGGGTCTCCAGATGCACAAAGCTTACCCTTTGGTTTGGACTTGGTGAAGACTTTGGAGATGCCCTTGTGTAACTCTCAAATAATGCAGGGAGAAATGGGGGGATTCTTCTCCACCTACTCCTGTCTTTTACTATAAGCTTATCCAGCATACAAAGAGATTAACTCTTTCTGTGAGGCACTGTTTCTTTGCTCCAGTGACTGCCTGAATGCCTTTCTTTTCCCTTGTCAAGCAGTACGGTTTTAATGTGATAATGCAGTACTGTGATTACTGGTTAGCTGCATATATGTCAGCATTTTGATTTAGTGCAGTCGCTAGGAACCGATTGGTTGGGGGAGGGACCTTTGTGTGTGTGTCTGCATCTGCACTTGTAATACTGTATATTGTCAATCAGGTGAGGTATTCACTCTGCTCAAGTCCTAGATTGTGCACGTTTAAATGTGATGTGTTAATAAATCTGTAATGTCTTTCCCAGAACACCATTAAAGCCTGGTGTCATACCTATCCCATTACAGAAATACTTCTACTTCATCTTTCCTCATAGCAGGGCATTTCTTGATGGTGTGTAACTGGTTTCCACGCAGGTTTCGGCCTCCATGCTCAAACAGTTTCCCAACAGTGGCTTGAATCCTGGTCTTTTCAATATGGGCCCCCAGCTTTCTCCGCAACAGATTGCCATGCTGAGCCAGCTTCCGCAGATTCCCCAGTTTCAATTAGTAAGTAGCTAGTAATGTTGTGAGACAGACTGTTTACAAATTGTCTGCTGAAAGAATTTTCTTTTTATGTTTGTTCTAATTCTGGTTTGTTCTACTGATCTAGTGTTATTTTTGTACAAGTATTCCCTGTTTTGTTGTACAGGAAAATACAGACCTGTTAGGGGGCAGCAGATAAACTAAACAGGCCTGTGTAATTATTGTGCAGAGGATTAGTAATTATTCTAAGCAATGTCTTTGTACAGAAAGCAATGGTTGGATTTTTTAAACTTCATTTTTTAAATGAAGTTTTCTTCAGACTTGTAGTCACAGTGATGCTTTTAAAGCAGGTACTAGTAATACTGTTGCATGATGTTAAATCAGAAACAAGTGAAGGATATAGTACTCTTCTAATGCATTCACTGTCATTTTATTTGTGTGTGTGGAATGAGAAACAGTTTACCTAAATTCTGAGCAAAGCATTTGCTAGTGACTAACTCCTGGCAATTATATTTGACTTGATGAGCTCTGTATTTTCACTCTTCCCACCTCCACTTATCTTGTAGGCCTGTCAGCTCCTCCTTCAGCAGCAGCAGCAGCAGCAGTTGTTACAGAGCCAGAGGAAGATATCTCAAGCTGTGCGACAACAGCAGGAGCAACAGGTATGGCACTGGTTTTGTCAGTCGTGTGAAGTATAGATTACACTGGGAAAACGTGGTCTGCAGCAGGTGCTGGCATCTTGCTCTCTTCAGTTTGCCCTCTGTTCAGATTGCATTTTTCAGGGAGCAAGGTCCTTTGGATCTCTTTCAAGTCACTGTTTCTTCATGTTTACTGGAATTCTGTGTTACAGTACAGGATATATCATCCCTATTTTTTTCTTTCTTTTGAAGATTGCTCGTATGGTGAGTGCCCTCCAGCAGCAGCAGCAGAGGCAGCCTGGCATGAAGCATTCACCATCCCACCCTGTTGGGCCTAAGCCACATTTAGACAGCATGGTACCCAATCCTTTGAATGTGGGTCTCTCAGATTTACAGACCAAAGGGCAAATACCTGGATACGGTTCAGGTAAGTACTCTGTGGAAAGAGATTTGGGGTGTTGCCTATAGTTACCATATTAACCAGTTACGTCTGTGTCCAGAAATGGAGTAACATGCATAAGCACTAGGGCGAAGGTTACGACAAGTGTCAACTCTTTATCAATTTGCATTATTTTTCATTGCGTGGGAAGAAGACAAGCCAAATAACAAGGTGTTTCTTGGAGATGTACTGACCTAACAAGCTTACTTGGAAGTTGCCTTTTGAACGTTTCATTGGATTTGTTTGCCGTTCTTATGATCACAATGACTCCCTGCCTGAAGATATTTAAACCAAAAAGAGCAAATGGTGATGGAGTTTTGTTTTTGTTTCACAGGCTTCGGCTCAAGTGGCATGGATTATGGCACGGTGGGAGGGAAACCGCTTTAAGCAGTGGACTATGATGGAAGGGCTGCCCTCTGTGGCTTCACAAGATGCCAATATGCACAAAAATGGTAAGAAGGGGTCTGGCTATTTCGGGAATGCCCTTGCAGTATCATATTGCCAGAGGTGAAAGAGCTCAGATGAAACTGTGCTTCAAGTCAGTTAAGATATTAACTCACCAGTATGCATCTTAAATATTTTTGTATTTTAATGTTCCATACTCACAAAGTTCCTAACCTTTCCTGAGTGTAAATGCTGCCTTTTTTTTCTTTTCTTTCCAATGGTTCAGGTGCAATAGTCCCCCCTGGAAAGGCTCGTGGAGGATCACCCTACAACCAGTTTGACATAATTCAGGGCGACCCGCTTGGTGGCCACACAGGCCCTGCTGGTGATAGTTGGTTACCTGCCAAATCTCCACCGACGAACAAGATCGGAAGCAAATCCAGCAACGCCAGCTGGCCTCCAGGTATTATATAAGGACAGGGGTTAGGTACTAGTGTTACAGCAGATGTGTTGGGACCTTTACTCATCAGACTTCTTAAATAACCACTGCAAGGAAAGTACTTGCTGAGCCTCCCTGGTTTTTTATTTTTATTTCTTCCACATTAAATTAGAACGTAATTTCTGAATTTCCAGTAATAAGTTGCTGAGCTAAATATGAACTAACTGCTGAATTGCCTGAGTAGTATTTGTTTTTTGTTAGGTGAACTCTTATCTTCTGTAGTTTGGTGACTTTGCGCTTACAGAAATGTTCATGAGAATGCCTGTTCATAGAATACACAACACCAGCTCCCTCCTCCTGTATTGATTCCATATTTGTGTTGTGTTAGGCTGACACAGGGTGTAAAAATTCTGATTGACGGCGTGGAATCGGAAAACAACAGATGGGAAAGCTTGTTTTTTGTGATGGAGGGAACAGGATTTTTCTTGTCTTGACCTTTTTTGTATTTTATGTAGCATGAACCTTTCTGGCAGTTGTTCACAGGTAGGATCAGCTGTGGACCACAAGGTGTCTTTTGCCAGCGGTATTGGCACAATAAGTATGCAGTGTGTGTGCTACGCTGCTGTGGTTCACCTTTGCTCATGTTGTGTAAAGGATAAAGAGTTGACATGTTTCAGTACGGCTCAGCAGTCTTGCGGCTTGAGTAGAAGTTTCTTGCTTCTACTTTAAAAAAAAAAAAGTGGCAGAATTTTGTCTTTCCAGTAGAAAGCTCAGACATCTAGGAAAAATACATACGTATTTGAATACACACATAATTTTCTGTATAAATCATTCATTAAACACATAGTGGTGTCCTTGAAATGGCATGGATTAATCACCAGTGCTATTCAGCAAATAGTGGATGCTGTGATTTCTCTCTGCCTGAAAGACTCTTATTGTTCCAGGAAAACATTTCTAACTGCAAATCCTCTGCTTTGTATCCCTTCGGACACGAGAAAGTAAAGGTGTGGGTACATCTCTTGGGTAAACCAGTAGCACAGACCTTGCATCAGAAAGCCGAAGAATCTGTGTGATAGATACAACTGCAGAAAGCTAGTTAGAATCGCAGAACCGTTTGGGTTGGAAGGGACCTTAAAGACCATCTAGTTCCAACCCCCCTGCCATGGGCAGGGGCACCCTCCTCTATACCATGTAAAGCCCTTTATGTGGGAACCCCTCAGTGTTTAACTCTGGCCAGAAAATGTTTTCTGATGAGCTAACAGGGTTAAAGAATTAGTTATCTCAAGAACCTCTGCACACCCACAGCATTTCATACTGCTCTCTGTAGGAGGTGTATTTGTGTTCTATTTCTGTCAGCCTGGTTGTTAAGTACTGAACTTCTTGAGCTGGAGTTGCTGCTCATAATCCCAGAAACCCCCAACATTTTATGTTCTTTCAGGATCTCTCTTGTAGACTCATTGTTGCTGAACGTGTTTCTTTAGTTACCAGTCCACTGCATAATACTGAGAAACACAGTACTGCATGAAATGTTAGGAGAGGGATGTGAGGATCAGCTCTGCCACATTTCCAGGTTTTGGACCAGCCACTGGCGCTGGCAGGATTCTTGGTACCAGAAGGGTGTTACAGAAGTGAGCAACTCTTTGCCCCCTGTTTGAGATCGTAGAGCTTCCTTAGCAATACTTGCAGTCCCACTGTCAGCGATAAGTAGAATTTTTGCTGTTGCTGACTGCCTCGCTACTGTAAGAGGAGAGCTGGAGTTCACAGATCCTGAACATAAACTCTCACTGGGATCTTCAGTACGATCCCTAATGTCCTGTGTAAATGAGTAGCCCGTGACTGCGACTGCAAATGCCGTGTAACAAACAGATCATGGGTTTTGTCGTGTGGCTTTTATGCAATTCTTGCTGTACTGCTCGCCCTCTCTTAGGAGAGCTGTAGGCTGTTGGGACAAGTGTTACTGTCCCATAACCATCAGCCGCTTAAGCTGTCTCATAGCCTCTCTAGCCTGCTGGCTTCCTTGAGACGGAAAACTTAGCTGAAATAATGATCCACCTGTTCAACACCCCTGATGAATAATAAAGACCAAAATGATTTTATGCTGGAAGTCCTTTTTCTCTGCAAGCCTGTAGATGAGGCCCAGTGTCAGTTCCTGGCGTGGAGATACGAGTTTTCTTCCTAGTGTTGGAAAATAAGTTCTTAATGAAAATAGGTCACAAGAGAGAACCTCTCGACATGGGTGTGTTTTTTCCTTTGGACAAATACAGTGGTCACTCAGCCTTCACGCTGACTACACTTTTCATATTTTCTTCCAAAATGCCATCTGCTGCAGGAATTGTGCTGTTCAAAGAGAGCAGCATTGTTCAGCACAGAGAGAAATGAAGTGGTGCCCAGTCAAACTGGCATCACAGCTGGAGGTGAGAGCAAGTTTTGCTGCCTTGGTGAGAACAGTATCTTTTGGTTGTGTCACACAGGCTTGTGCACCTGCGTAATCCTAGACACTAATTTTCCTATTCAGGAGCAGTTCAGTCATATACTCCAGGCAAACTGGCCTCAGTGTGTCTGTCGTGGTTTTCCTAATAATCTAATGTTGGATCTTTTTGGGAGGACCTTTCAAATATCAGTGGGGAAATATACTTCCTTTTTTCTTTACAATCTAGAAAGAAAAGAGCGTGTCTGTAGGGAGAGTTGGTGAATGTGCGTGAGAATAACTGTCAGTCCCAAAGGGTAATTTGGAAATTTGTCAGTCTTTGCTGAACTTCATGGAAATGTCTTCTCCAGACCAGGATTGTATTGTTGAGTGAATGTGCTTATGTACAGTACGCTTGATCTTTGGAGCCTTGGTTGAATAATCCTTAACTTTTTGATGAGACCTTACTATGTACTTGATTTTCAATCTCACCAAGTCTCAGAAACCATTACAAAGGCAAGACTTGTACTTATCTTTTTTTTTTTTTTCCTTTTGGCAAACAAGTTCTGATTTCCAGGACCTAACCTGAGTTCATGGTTTCTTTATCTCAGAACACAGAAGGTCTTGTGACTAGACCCAAGAGCTCCATTGCTTGTTCCTTAAACATGAGGCAGTCCTGTTTGTCAGGGGATTGCAGTATTGTGGCAGTAGCTGAGCAGATTCCTTCCTTAATGCAGTGCTGATTGCTAACACTGTTAGAAGTGTTGATACCTGGTGTCCTACATTATTTTGTTGAGTTGCTAAAGACTGGGAGATGTGACTGAGGTTTACAAAACCATGAAAGCAGTGGATGAGATAAATGCAGAATTCTAATTCTACAAATCCTGCAACACTAAAATGATGGTGCAAATGCTGGACTTAGGAGGATATATGTTTTAAATAGATGAGAGAGGGTTGTTTTTCTAATGGGAGTGGAGAACTTCTGGGATGTGTTGCTTTTAGAGTTTCTGGAGACAGTACTAGCTGGTTGAAACAGTGATTGGATAAACTGATGGGAAAACAGTTTCACAAGGAAATGCTAGCTGATAGAGAGTACTTGTGACAGCCTAGATAACAGGACTGTGGATTCTGGGAGAGTGAGTGCAGTATCCTACACAAAGCGGACAGGTTTGTGTTCTGTCCCTAAATGGTATCTCTTCTACAACTGCTAGCAGAATACTGGGCTAGATGGACCACAGATCCGACCCAGTGGGGCGCTTCTTACGTCTTTGAGATTCTTCTGCCAGCGCATGATCACAGTCTGATACTGACCTTGCTGTGCTAATTGTTTCAACCGGTAGTATCACATTTTCTGCTGTATTTGTCTGTGAAAGTCAGACTCAGCTATGCTCCTTCATTAAAAAAAATGACTGAGATGAACCTTTCCATCCCAGATTCACCCTATGTGGTTGCATTCCAGAGAGCATATCCTGGATCCTACTTTCAGTAATGGATTTTTAATTACACTCAAATATTCTGTCATTATTTCAGAACTTCATGTTGGGAATGAAGGTATTATTCAGTATCCTGGACTTGTATCTACAAGGGATGAATCCGCCACCTTGGCACTCTTCACACTTACCCAAATTGTCAGGCAGTATCTGAATCTTCTTCGCATGTTTTTGTTTGGCGGTGTTACTTTCTTATCACTGTTCCCAAAATTGACCACAGCACTTTATTCATTGAACACCTGTTCAGAGAAGGAATCGAGTTACTGATCTTTCTTACAGTATCTGGGGTTTTTGTATGTGTGTACTTTTTGTACTCATCCTCTTGTCTTAAAAATCGGGTGTGACTGGAGCTACAGTGGAAAGGAAACTAAAGCATGACAGGTATATTCGGTCTCATTGTGAAGCATGAGCAATGTCACTGAGTGGATACATTGCTGTTACCACAAGGCATCCTGCCTTAGCATTGCCTCAGTAGTGTGTGTACCTACAGTGTAAAGTGTCAAATGTCGTGTTTACAAACAGTTAGGGTAGGCTTGAGAAAGGCTTCTGCACGCACATGGAGTATGTTCTAATCTTATGTAACGTAATCTTGCATATCTTAAAAAATACATAATGTATTAAGGAGGGGTGAAACTATTGAAGCCTCATCTGAATGTAGTAAAACAGGAATAGTTAAAGGAATAGCAAATCCATTTTCACCACTTTTTTGTAGTGCAGACTTCTATTCAGACACTAGAGATATTGCTGTGGAATATATGAAAAAATTACATGAAACAGATTTTAATTAAGAAAAGGCTGATTTTTTTGAAGAACAGTGTAGAAGGCAACTACTCACCTTCTTAAGTATCTTCAGCAGTTAATTCCAGTAAATGGTGTTGTCCTGTTTGCATCTAATTACTTTTTTCCTCCTGTCTCAGAGTTCCAACCAGGAGTGCCATGGAAAGGTATACAAAACATTGACCCTGAATCTGACCCCTATGTGACCCCTGGAAGTGTGCTGGGCGGGACAGCCACATCTCCCATTGTAGATACTGACCACCAACTTCTGCGGGACAACACCACAGGTAAAACAGTGAACAGCTGGTATGTGATTATTTAAGTTGTCCTGATACTCGACAATATTCTGATGTTCCTGTCATAATAGGGTAACAGGCTATTGCATTTGCCTAAGAAGGAAGCCTCTGTGCCTTTGCACCATGACTGCATATCACGGGAAACCTTGGTTTAGGTATAAATTCTGACTCTCTAGAGGTATTAACAGTATTGCAGAAACTCTTTCTCCTTTTCACTTTGATAGGGTCTAATTCTTCCCTCAACACCTCGCTGCCTTCACCTGGTGCCTGGCCCTACAGTGCCTCTGACAATTCCTTCACCAACGTTCATAGCACTTCAGGTATGCAGATTCTAAAACTTACCTGGACAAGGCGCTTGCCGCTTGTTCTTCGCTCTTGTTCCACTTCGGATATTTAGTCTTTCAGTAATTTCTGAGGAAGCTTAGAAATAGAGTTTTGAGTGGCTGATCAGATAGTTCTCCTGCCGATGATAAAATACCCTGTTATGGTTGCTTTAAAAACTAAGTTTCTCTGCTCTTCCTCCCACTCCCAATCCAAAATTCATAGTTCTGCACGTTAAAGAACAGGGTAGCAGTGAGCAGCAGATGCAGAAGAAATAAAACAGCACCACACCACATGCACAATCTATTGACACGTGTAAGGGGTTGGAGGACTGTCATTATTTAAACTTACCTGTTCCTGTATGTACAAGTTGAGGAACTAGAGTAATAAGGTGAGTGATTTTACTCATTTTAACTTCAGAATATTGGAGTGCTATGAAGGGAACATTTTTGCCTCACCTTTTATAGCACTCATCATTCCCTGAAACCTGAAGAGAGGGCTTTTAGCCCTCTGGCTTTTAATGGCTGGCATGTAAATAGTAATTTAGATATCTGCCTCAGATCCTTGTTAGGGAGGTCTCCAAAGCTTTCTTGTGAAAAATGGTGTCTGCACACACTTCTGAGTAGGATGCTGGAAATACTTCTCCAGACAAACCATTTTGATTTTGAACTACTTGCAAATGCCAGTTTTCTTTTGAGACATCATTGTCTTGACAACTACTAAAAGCTAGAGAATTGTGTGTAAATAGCAGAAGTGGCGAACATAGCTGTGAGCTGCATCTGGCCCAAACTTCATGGTTTTTGCATCTTGCTGAATAAAAGCTGTGTTCATGTTATTGCAGCATCTTCACAAAATGTGTCAAAAGTCCTCTTTAGCCATTGGGAAAAGCAGTGCTCCTGCTGACAGTTTGTGGGGTGACTTTGGTTGGAAGCAATATCTGTATATGCAGCATTCCAGTGACAAAAGATTTCTCTTTCATAGCCTGAGGGGAAAAAATGGCACGTGTCACTTTCTTACCTTCGTTCAATTTTTGTCTGGCACACAAGACAGACCCAAGAGCTAGAAAATGACTGAAGTCACAGGTGAACTGTGGAAATCAGACCAGTGCCTGCCTGGCACACATGCCATCTTCTGCTCATCCTGCTAAACTACACACCAGGATTTTACAGCCAGTTAGCAGGTCATCTGCATTAGGGATTTAGAATTCACATATCTGTAAAACAATGTAAGTCTAGTGAAAGCAGGTTTTTAAGCACTTTATTACACTTTCATTTGCTGTTGACAGTTACTGAGTCATGGAAATAAACTGATCCAACTGTAAAATGAAGCATGCTTTTACTTGGTGAAAGTTTTATGATCTTGATCTCCAAATGTGTTATTTTGTGACACCCTGGCATATTGTAAACCTGAATTTTTACCTTTTGTTTCAAATAGGTAATTTATTACCTTCTGTTAGTGACTAGAACTTAAAATGTATATTTGCACATACAGGCACAGGAGTTTTGATTAAGATAATTCATGATGCAAGTGCCTTTTCCCCCAGATGCCCTGTCTGTGTTCACTGGTTCTCTGTACACAGCAAAGAAAAAAAAGACACTACTTGAGCAATTTTGACACTTGGTTTGATGAATGTCCCTTGGTGACAGAAGGTGTGTGAAAATTTGCAGTCTACCGTCTTAAGGAAAACTGGTTTAGGAAGAGCTCCCAAATATTCATGACTGATAATGATGTTTCTGGGAGTGTGTTAATTTTTCTCTTCTATTGGACTTTTTATATAAAGGGTTCTTAACGTGTTAAGGATGTCCACCATTGGTCTTAACTTCTCCTCGTAGGCATTTGGGTAATGCTTTCTAGTAAAAGTGAATATTCTCTATCAGGGTGGTTTAAACGTGCAGCTGTCTGACAGCTGAGTGACCTTCTGTACGTGTTACCGTTTTGCCAACTCTTTGGAAATTTGTGATTCATGAGAAAGCTTTGCTGTACAGAAGAACATCTTCAGGAGGTACCATTAGTTTAGTAGACTGAGTGGTAAATAGTCATGAGAGTTCCGTGCAAGTTTACGGTGTGAAGAAGGTTCCATTTCATTAAAGCCGCGAGTGGTGCTCAAAGCTGTAAGAAAATTCTCAAATGAACTGTAGTGTGGATGTAAAAGTTGCTCTTCATCTTCTTAATGATTTAACATAACTGCGACCGGTTAAATTAGCATAAATGATCTTGGGATTTTTTTTGTCAGCATATATAAAATAAGCAAAGATCAATCCATATGTAGTGTGGCATTTTTTGGTGTGGTAAGTGAGCTGTTGTGTGGTTCTGTCCTTTGTGTTCGTCTCCGATACAGATGCAGTCAGAGGGTTTACAGAGATAGTACAGTTTAAGGCTAGTTGAATCTCATCGGTTTCTCTAACACATACTGTTTATTTAATCTTCCAGCAAAATTCAGTGATTACAAATCCACATGGTCCCCAGATCCCATAGGACACAATCCCACTCATCTCTCCAACAAGATGTGGAAAAACCATATTTCCTCAAGGAACACTACAGGGCTGCCCCGCCCGCCTCCTGGCCTGACCAACCCCAAACCATCATCTCCATGGAACAGCACAGCATCCCGATCGGTCAGGGGCTGGGGGGCACAGGACTCAAGGCTTGCCTCTGGTGAGAAGAATCAACTGATAGCACCATTGATCAGACCTGAGGAGTGTACGTTTTACAGCACTAATGGTTTGGAGGAAAGAAAGTTGCAGTTGTCTGGTAAAAGGAAAAAAAGTTCCTTCTTGAAATGGAAATATACTGTCAGTAATTGGGGCGGGGGGTGG